GATAAGATTGATTTTGGCCAATGATGTATCCTTCATGAAGCTAGGAGCCGGGTGGGCGGGGTTAGTATTTGCTAAGGTAAGCCTGAACAATATCAAGAGTAGTCACTAGAATGAAGAAGGAGTATGGAAAATACTAAATTGTTTTAAGTTGTAAATACTAGCCCCATCCCCTATTTTCTTAGAAGGTATGTCATTTGCCAGAATCAGTCTCATCTTCGCAAGTACAAACCCCGCCCACCCGCCCCTATTTTCTTAAAGGGTATATCATTTGCCAAAATATTTCTTATCTTAATAAGTACAAGCGACTAATTTAAGCATTCCTAAGGAATAAAAATATATTAAATAGTTATTAGATGAGCAAATTTTCGTGGCATTTTTGGCATTCTACAGAAACCGACCTATAAATATATTGTTATTTTTCTATAAATTGTTTTTTCTTAGCTCATCCAAGAATTTCTTGTTTTATTTATTTTCATTTCTGAATTTTTAAAAGTTCTAAATGTGTTATAACTTCAAGAAAATTGATCTACGGTTATATATCGGCTATATGAACCACGTGGAAAATATTGCACAAGAAAGTAATTGTGATAAAAATCAAGACGGATTCATAAACCACAGGTATACGAGTATATTATTTCGTAAAATTTGGAAAGCCTTAATTCCTCAACAAATTTTTAGTAGAGATAATTTGAGAAATTTTTAACGTTTTACCATCTATACGTAATTCCTAATATAGACAGACGGAAACGGCGGACCTATTTTTTCATATTCTATAGAACATGAAACGTCGAGAAGACATGAAAGCGGCTATTCGCCGGAGGGGACCTACAACATTTCCTCATCATACGTTCAGGAAGTAAATAATGGACTTTGTCAAAAATAATTCTCGTAACTATCGCCAGAGAAACAAAAAGTGGAATCTTTCGTAAGCTTGATAAATCGTTAATTAAAATTTTTTTGTTTATGTTTTTTTTTTGGGAAAAAATCAAGAGTACGTAATTAATTAATCCTTTCATCTGTGTTGATGAAACAAAATCAATCAAATTTCATTTTCTTTTAACCGCTGATGCTTATAATCTGAGCGTACTAATAGTAGAATTGTCTCGAAGTGTAAACAGTCGAAGTTAAGCATATACTGAAAATCTAAATTTTTCCCGTTAGCTATCTGCTTTCAGTGTATGTATTTCAAACTGTCCAGAGGAAGTTCTGTTAAAATAACCTTCGACGAATTTTTCTTGTTTATGCTGAGGAAGTATAAACATAATGAACTGAAATTATTGTCTGAATTTAAAAGATTTCAAAAATTTGACACATATTTAAAATCTCAGTTGAAAAAAAATTACTAGATATTTAGATACAACAGAAAGTTATCAATTTGTTGGACTTCTAAAAAAAATTGGCCTAACAGGCAGAACTTCCCTCAACCCTGAAGTATAATCAAAGAAATCTCATTTTTTAGAAAAAAGTACCAGTCACAGTGTAAGGGAAAAGTGACTTATGACGGTTACCTTCGCGTTATTAGTCAGACTTTCTAACCAACGGAGCTAATTGGCGGTTGCTCAGCGTTCCTCTTATACGTATTACGGAAACTCAATGAGTAAAGACATTTTTTTAATAATAAAAAAAATTAACCAACGATTTACTATTGTTACGACTAACTTAAAACTTTTGGAAGATTTCAAAGCGCTCGGTTTTACATTTTGTAAATTAAATTGTAAAATATAATATATACGCTGCCCGACAAAATAACTTGAATATTTGTAAATTTAAGCTCAATGTTTAGTGTTATAACTTTTTTTACTTTTTTCTGTTTCCACGTGTTCTAGAAAAAGTTATGTTTTCTATTAATGAATACATTAATGATTTGCTTTTTGGAATTTTTTTTACAAAAGATCGACCAGTTGCAGGTAATCACAAATAAATCAAGTGTCCGAGTTTTTTTGTCTGGCATTATACACATATAAATAATATCTTTTTTGCAAAAAAGGGTAAAAAACAAAGCTGATTCATAAACCACAAGTACAGGAGTAGATTATTTTATAAAATTTAAATAGGACTTACGATGCAAAATTCCGGGGTGACGTCGCCAAATTTTTGGCGGGGATAACCAGACAAATCTCGATTAGATTTTTACCATGTGATCGATATTCCTCAAATACCTACAAACGAGAGACGAACGGAAACTGGAGACCTATTTTATCATTCTCTAGATGTCATGAAACGACAAGAAAACATTAAAGTAGCCATCGCCGGAAGGACCCCCTATTTCAATACTTCCTTAGCTTACGCTCGGGAAGTAAAATTTTGGATCCCAATAAATATTCAGAGAAGATTGGGACGAGATTACGGAACTAAAATTCAAAAATATTCAATTTTTTCTGTCTATTTTGTTCTAAAATCTGAATTTTCTATACCCCCAGGCACATGTTCCTTGCGAAGGTCACATTTAATATTTGCGGTACTATAAAGTACTTGCTAAGATAAGAGTGATTTTGGCAAATGATATACCCTCTAAGTAAACAGAGGGCGGGTGGGCGGGGCTAGTATTTCCCAAGATACAACTGATTTTGGCAAATCACATACCCCCTAGGAAAATAAAGGGCAGGTGGGTGGGGCTAGTACTTTTAAGATAAGATGGATTTTGGCAAATGTTATATCCTTTTAAGAAAACAGGGGGCGGGTGGGCGGGGCTTGTATTTGCTAAGATGAGACTGATTTTGGCAAATGACATACCCTCTAAGAAAACAGAGGGGGTGTGGGCGGAGCTAGTATTTGCTAAGATAAGACTGCACAATATCAAAAAGTAGTCACTAGAATGAAGGAGTGCAGAACAAACTAAACTCAGCCCCCCTCCCCATCTCTTTTCTCCATTTCACTGATTTATTTTATTTACTGTAAAATGGAAACTGAATTTTATTTTGAAAAAGAGTAGAATATAAAATTTAAAATAAAGTCAGAATTGGGCCGCCCACCAACCTCTACTACGTTTTGATCGCTCATTTTATTAGCTCTGAACAATATCAAGAGTAGTCACTAGAATGAAGAAGGAGCATGGAAAATACTGTGTTTTAAGTTGTAAGTACTAGCCCCAGGGCTATATCATTTGCCAGAGTCAGTCTCATCTTAGCAAATACAAGCCCCGCCCACCCTCTCTCTATTTTCATAAAGGTTATTTCATTTGCCAAAATCAGTCTTATCTTAGCAAGTACAAGCCCCGCCCACCCGCCCTCTATTTTCTTAAAGGTTATTTCATTTGCCAAAATCAGTCTTATCTTAAGTACCTACTACGACTAATTTAGGTATTCTTAAGCAATAAAAATATATTAAGTAGTTATTAGATGAGCAAATTTTCGTGGCATTTTTGGCATTCCACAGAAACCGAACTAGTAAATATCTTGTTATTTTTCTATAAATTGTTTTTTATTAGCTCATCCAAGAATTTCTTGTGTTATTTATTTAAACTTCTGAATTTTTAAAAGTTCTTAAATTTCTTAATGTTTTATAACTTAAAGAAAATTGTTCGACCGTTACTTGATTTTGCAAACATTTATTTATTTTATAATGATTTGACAAAGAAGCGAGATATCGGCTAGATGAACCACGTAGAAAATATTGCATAAGAAAGTTTTTGTAAAGTAATTGTGATAAAAATCAAGACGGATTCATAAACCACAAGTATACGAGTATATTATTTCGTAAAATTTGGAAAGCCTTAACTATATAAAATAATGGAAGACGTCACGAAATTGTTGGTAGAGATAATTAGATAAATTTTTAGCGTTTTACCATCTATACGAAATTCCTAACGCCCATATAAAATAGACAGACGGAAACGGCAGACCTAGTATTTCGTATTCTAGAGCACATGAAACGTCGAGAAGACATGAAAGCCTGTAAATAATTTATCAAAAACACTTCTGTTAACTACCACTAGAGAAATAAAAAGTGGAATTCAGAGCTGAACATATTCGTTCACTTCAAAATTTGTAGTAAACATATTTTTGTGGTTTTCTTAAGTCACCTAAAACAAGTTTGATCTGTATTTAATTTCCTTTTGAAAATGGACTTAAAATAAACAAGTCACCACAATGAAACAACAGTTAAAATCAGTTTCTTTCGATTTTCATTTGTTTTTACATATAAGAATATGTCCCAAGGTGTGTACAATGACTGTGCCATTTTTGACACGTCCTGTATATCGAAAATTAACTTTACTAGGAAAAACTGAAATTATAGGATGACTATTAATGATTGAAGCAAATTATTGAGTTGGAAATTCTGAATTATTGGCAGCAATGTTAGTACGCCAGTTGGCAGTTGTCAATTTTGACATAAGCGCGTCTGAAAATCAATACAGCATCATAACATTTTAAATATATTGCCAACCTGTCAAAAACAATCACAAATATTAATATTCACTCGGGACTATTCTGAAAACATAATTTCATACAATAGCGTACATTTTAAAAACCACAGTTTTTATAAACTCGAAGAAAAGAGCGACAAGGAATCGTAACGCAAAAGACAAAAAAAAGAAAGAACGAGACACAGAAAAGGACAGAATGAGACGGTGAGAAAGACAAAAGGAAAGAGAGATGACAACAATCAACCCTCAGAAAAAGCAGTAAATAAAAGGGGAAATAGAGCAAGGACGGTACGGTAATAAAAATAAACATACAGAGAAAAACATGACTGAATAAACAAAAAACGAGCAAAAGTGCTTGATTAATGAACAGTTTATTGTACGCGACAATTACTCCAAACAAATTTCCGTTGTTGCCACCGCCCTCAATTTGCAATCTTTTCTTGAGGTGTCAAGGAGAAAATCCTAGATTGTATTTCCGCAACAATAGCGTACGTCACATCCATCCAAACTCCTAACAATTATTGTGTATACTTGCATCGAATGCTAGCCGAGACCGCTTTACTTTCACTTCTGCGAACATTTTTCCATAAACCTTATTCCCTTCCAGCACATGGCATGGTAGGAGGACCGTCAACAATATTCCTCCATCAGTTCCATTTCTACACCTGCAACTTGCAGGTGGTGCGTTATTTATTTTTCCATTCTCAATGTCTGTTATTATTTTCTTCGGGTTTTCGCCTACGTCAGGTTAAACTTCAGTGTCATCATCTCCGACCTTCTCATATTCAGCAGCCCTTGCAAATTTCTTTTTTATGTGTTCATCGTGAAGTTTCTGTTATGTTCGAACCGTGCTGTAAAAAAACCAATTACAAAATGTCAAAAACACAGAATGTGATATTAAGGGTGACCATCGTGTTGGCGATGATCGTGGCTGTGGTGGCGGTTTTGTATTTCTCCCCTTTACCAGGTTAGTGGTTTTTGTTTTAATTTAGCTTATTTAAGTTTTAGTTAGACGTTGTAGTCGGATTATTGGAGTTCTTAAAAGTTTGCAGAGGAAAGGTGATGTTGTGAGAGGAAATAACGTCGGAGCTTCTTGTGTTATGTAACTAGCGTGGTGTAAAAAATACAAAAATAATCATTCTCGTGGTTTAGAAAGTAAGGAGTTTAATTTAAGAATCAACGAGGCTACGCTAATGATCTACATTGACGCAAATACTTTGTATCCATTCATTATGATCAGTAGCTACAACGTACTCTTGCATCATATAAATTACATCGGTTCCGGTTTGCTGCTGGAAAGTTAATTGTTAGTTGTTAACCTTTTGGAAAAAAATAAACGAAGACTCATGTTTCTGGTGTAAAAACACGCACACGAAAATTTTAAATTGGAAAGACTGAAAGATCATATGTTTATATTTGTCTTATGACCTTAAAACAATAGTTATTAAAACAGGAATGAACAAAGGCTGAAATTTGACCTCCAGTTCTACAATAACTTGTCAATTAGTAACATACTGACTATGAAGTGTTTGTTCAACACATACTTAAAGGTCGGAAAAAGTTACTAGAAAAAAACTAATGAATTATTTTAAATTACTTAAACAGAAACAACTTATTAAACCTGTCAGGTTTGTCTACCTACATTTCCTCATTTAACCAAAGATAAAAAAAAAATAATAAAAAACATCTAGAACAAAATAAACAGTTGTCTTTTTATAGTTATGAAATGCAGCTTAGTCCTAGTTTTAAAAATATTTGTATTTAAATTAAACACACTTAGTAACTACTTTCACGTCTTTAAAAAAAATGTAACTATTGCTAATTCAAGGTTATTCAAAAATCTAAGATAATTAACTAATACGAATGAAGTGTGTCAAAAAATATGATGTTTGTTATATGTTTTGTACAGTAAAATAATAAATCCCAAAGTAGTAAAACTTTAACTTTTACGATTGGCACGTTTTTTAATGTCCTGACGGTAAAGGACTTTATCAGTACCTAATAATAATAATGACAGTGTGTTGAAGGTCTCTAGTTTTTATCATTTGTGTCAGACAGTGGTATTGCGCATTAATAAAACTATGAAATATAATTATGTTGCTTTTTTTTTCTAAAATTATGTATTCTAACGTAGATAATTAATTCTGTTTTGATTAAGTATATTTAATTAATTACACAATTTTGTGACTGATATTGTGAACCTGAGAATTCCTAGTTGTTATGATGGAGCGATATTTACAATGCTGGGAACCAGTTTTATCCCAGGAAGAAATTCCACCTTAATATAAATGACGTATTTCGAGGAAAAATTGCGTATAAATGTTGCGCCATTTATATAAATAGAGGTCGAAAAAATTAAGCTTGGAATTTGAGCAAAAAATTGTACTCGAATCGGTAATTTCTAAAGACTAAAAAATATGTAATCAAGTTAATGAAAAGGTTTTGTAAACAGGAATACAAAAACTATTTAACATATGTTTTTTATGGATAAAAAAAATTCTACAAAATAACGTGAACATGAATAATTACTTAATTTAATTAATTAATTAAATCCGTCGTGTTAAATATTCGTCAACTTATAAGTTTTTACGTTTTTTGTTGGTTTTGTGGTACTACACACTTCCTGAGTGAAGCGCTATTTTTTCAGTGTGTTTAGTAATCCCATTGTCCTCAGAAGAGATGTTGGAGTCCTTTGACCGGATATCTTTATAGAAAAATGTTGGTGGATTAATAAACTACACGTATATACATATTTTTTGATAGTATTAAAGTATGGGCAAAATTTGACAGCAATTGATGACTACTTTCATGTTTTCTCGTTGGTTCATTACCTCTAGAGTACGAAAAACGAGGTTTGTCTGTTTGTCTATCCGTCTGCCGCCGAATTTTATTAGACAGATAATCGACAAAACTACTGGATCAATTGTTGTCAAATTGTCCAACAATAGGATGATTTCTGTACTTATGATTTATGAATCCGTGTTGAGCTTTTACCATACATATCCAAATTTTTGGAAAAATATCAAAATTGCATGACAAGATTTGCAATTTAACTTTGAAACTGCAAAACCGAATGCTCTGAAATCTTGCAAATGTTTTAAGATAATCTACCGTAAGCATGACAAATGGTTAATCAAAATTTTTTCGGTTATGTTTTTTTGGGAAAAAATCGAGTGTGTTTAATCAATTAATTGATTCTTCTGTCTCTGTTGAAGACACAACATAAACCAAATTTCATTTTATTTTAACCGTTGATGCTTGTAATCTGAACGTGTTAATATTAGAATTCTTTCGGAGTATAAGGATGAACAGTCGGAGTTAAGCATGTACTGAGAATTTAGTGTATGTATTTTACACTGTCCAGGGAAGTTCTGTTGAAATAATCTTAGACGGATTTCTCTAGTTTCTGCACAGAAACTATAAACATAAATTACTGAAATTATTGTCTCAATTTAAAAAAAATCTGAAATTTGAAATACATATTTAAAATCTCATTTGGAAAATAATTAGTAGATACTATAGAAAGTTGTCAATTCTCTTACCAACTGAGCCAACTGGCCGGTACTCAGCTTTCCTCTTATATTATAGAAACTGGATGAGTAGAGATACTTTTGTAATAATACAAAATTTTAACCAGCGATTTACCAAGCTTACGACAACCTTAAAACGTTTGCAACATTTCAGAGCACTCGGTTTTACAGTTTCATCGTTAAACTGATGTATTTCGAGGAAAAATTGCGTATAAATGTTGCGCCATTTATATAAATAGAGGTCGAAATAAATGAGAATTAAGTTTGGAAAAAAATGTTCGTCAACTTATAAATTCTTACATTTTTTCTTGGTTTTTTGTACTACACATTTCCTATTTTTTCAGCGTGGAAAATTCTAACAACTAATAAAAGAACACGACGTCTGTGTCGAAATGCATTGTATTGAAACGGGAAACTTGCTTCCAATTTTTCTCAAACTTTCACGTTCTACATTGTTCTTAGAATCACGTTTCAGATAGCATTTGTCAAAATTTGCCTTCATTTCCAATTTTCCCAAAGTTCACTACAAAAAATCTTTGTCTGCCAATACTTTACCCGAAGAATTGAAAACAGATGATATATGTATGCGTGGTGTATTCCTCCACAAAATTATATTGTAAACACGTATTTTAAACTTTTGGTATTCCGCTGTTTCCCCTGTCTCTTTAGATCCTGTTCCCTTACGGAATTCTAAATTTTGTTGTCTTAATCGATTTGTATTTGGGATGAATTTTTGTGTGACAACGGCTTTTATACCACGACATCGATGCCGTCAATTTTCATAAATAAATCATTAAATTACTTTAGTTTCCACATTGAGGGTACTCTAGACGAAAAAGGAAGCAGTGACCTAATAACATTTTTTGAAAATGAAGTTGAGAGAAACTTCTGAGAAACTGTTCTTATTACCGCGATATCCATTATTAATTTACTGCACGTGATTCAATTACGACCAAGCAGAACATTTTTCTTTTGCTTTATTGTGGAAATGGTGGTATTGGAAAGTGGAGAAAACTAGTTATAGGTTTTAAAAAATGTTCACTTAATTGCTGTCTCCACTCAGAATAAATATCAAATTATAAAGTCATGCTTTTGCACGATATACTTTTTATAGAAGTGTTACTTCCATGTAACAGCAGCATTGTATAATATTAATTATGTGGTTACCATATGTTCAGCTAAAAATTAATACGTATTTATGAATTTCATTTAACATTAAAAGCTACATAGCAAAATTTTGATTTGGTGAATTGTTGTCATTATTTGGTAACTAGAGCTTAAAAAGTAATTAGAACTGGAAATGTAAAATGAGTATTTTAAAATCAATGTGGAATTAATTTACACCAACACATAACCACGAGTTTGCAATTAACAGTTTTATTATATTCGATTGATTACAAGGTGACACAAAACTTTACTACTACTAAAGCTCCCAACAAAAATTTTCAATTATAATTGTTTCATGCTTATTTTTACAACATCTGTTGTAAATGTTGTAGTATACGATCTACATATAAATCAGTTGAATAGAACTACGAAATACTATTTTGTAAAAGGTCAAATTTCGTCATACTAAATACCTAAATGGTGACTGGACGTCAATCTTAACACCTAGACGTTTCCCAGGTGCATTCAACCATTCTCTAATGACAACCTTGCCAGTCATTCTCACTAATTATAATAAATTAGTGCACTTAGTTTGAACTTGTCTTTTTTATTCCATATGAAAGTGGAAGTGGCTCTTGAATTCAAGCAGCGACTTCTGCATTCACAAACTTTTTCCCTCAGTTTTCACTTCAATTCCAAAATCTCGGTACATCCCGTGACCTACAAAAATCATCATCAATGATTAACGCGATAACAATAAGAGATGAAATCCATGCCATTTACCTCTTAAAGGAAGACTTTAACCTTTCACTGTATTGAACGGTACTTGTTAAACAGCTTTCTTCATGGAGAAATTGGCGCGAATTTCCAACAAAACTTTTATTACTGCACCTGATCGGTAAATCTTGTAGCGTCTTACGAATTTCTAAATAAATATAAGTACTGGGTTAATCGCTTATTATGGAACACTAATTTATGTTTTTTCCCCAGAGGGACACTTCGAGAGCTGTGATAGACCTTGCCATGACCTGGATTGGCCAATGATATGTCGGATGAAAATCCATATTGAGGCAGTGCAGACCATAAGGTAGCGGGTGTAAGGAAGACAGATCATTTGTGGGACTTTGATGTGCTAATAGTTTCAAGGCTTAGGAATTGGAAATTTATGCAAATTGAAGAATTATTTTTGAAATAAAGTTACAATTTTCAGATGCTTGTTGTAAGTTGAGAAATTTCTTACACTGCGAGATCAGCTGAAGGCAGTGAAAAGTGTTACCACCCTATGTAACCTGTTCGCAAAATTTGAAGGGAAGTTGTACAACCAGTTTAATATTGCAAATTTTAACCTAATAAAGCGGACTCAGATTTAACGTAAGTGCTAAACCAGTGAATGAAACAATTAAAAATGGGTTTATTATATGAAGTTTTAAGTTGTGTAATTCAAAAGACTATATTTTTTAGAGCATAAAATAACATACAGGGTGTATTAAAAGGAAACATTCTACAATCACCAGATTTTCTTTTTTCTCATTGATCCATTAGTCTGAAATTGAATCGAATTCTTAGTTAGCCTAGGACCAGTTACAAAAAAAAATTGTTCTGAATAAAAAACCAGTGACGAAAAATTCGCCTTCGATGCATAGTTTTAGAGATAATGACAATTCAATGAAAGTATTATAAAAAAGATAATGAGCTTTCCCTTTCAAATAATGATTTTCTTATCAACTAACTTATTTATTATGTATCGTTGAAGTAAACCTGAACTACTGTCTGACTTTTAAATGTCAACCGCATATACATGGTGAGTCACTAAGCACGCGGTCCTCGATATCATATTATTATTATTACTATTAGAAATTGAGAAAAAAGTCAAAGATGAAAGTTGTACATTTATTTGAAGACTACTTCAAAATTATTTTAACTACACACAGGGCTCCTTTTTAAGGCATAAAACACAACTTAAAAAAAAGAAAAATAAAGAATCGGGTAATAATCAACTTTAAATATAGAAAATACAGGCTGTTCTATTTGAAAAAATTAAAATATCGATATTTGAAAACTGTGATAAAAAAAATTACATATACTCTGTATAACCGTACTACTATTTTTTGTAAACTTTGAATAACGTGACAACGTCGCATTCGGATTTCAAAAATAAACTAATATAAGAGGTCAATCAATATATGCAAGTCCTCAAAGAACCGTAAAACTTTGGTCTTTGACTTTTTTTCTATTTCTAATTCTGTAGAACACAATTAGGTTTTTTTTTAATAGAATTCTTATTAACCTCTTCGTTGGCTTTATATAAGCATTCTTTATTTTTGAAATTCTGATCCAACGTTGCCACGTTATTCTATTTTTTTAAACAAATTTTTGGACGCCTTTAAATGAAAATCTAGCAACTTTAAATAGAGAAAATATTTTACAACAAAGAAAGAGGACAGAAAACAGAATAAGATGCAGTAATAAATTACGGGGTGTTCTATTTCAAAAAACTGAAGTATCAGTATTTGAAAATTGCTAGAATTTATTTTTACAAGCACTCGGTGTATTAAGATCCAACTTTATTTATATCACAATAAAACGATTTTTTTATTTATCTCTACGTAAAATATTGTAAACGAGATTTTAAAAATAATTCTATTGTGATTTTTTTCTGAACCCTTCCATTACGAAACACATTCAAAAATTATCATCTTTTTTTGTGATTTTTGTTAATGAGAACCTTCATTAAGGTAAATGTGGCGTAAATAACGTTCCTACAGCGTATTTGACTTTTTCTTCGATTTTTCTTTTTTTTTGTTCCTTCATTTTTTCTAGTTTTGAAGTTTAAATTTAATTTTTCAATTTTTCAACTTTTCAATTCAATTTCTAGATTTTGCAATTTTTCAGTTTGTTTCTTTAATTTTACAATATCTTTTCGAGTTTTCAATTTTAAATTTTCCAGTTTTCCAATTTTCCAACTTTTGAACGTTTCAATTTCTAGATTTTGCAGTTTTTAGATTTTTTTTATTTTTCAATTTTTAGATTTTTCAGTTTTTCATTTCTTCAGTTTTTCGAGAAAAATGAGAAAGTACAAGTTATCCTACGTGACTTACATTAGGAGTACAGTCCAAAATTATTTAATAATAGATCGACTTTATGTTTTTTATTATAATATCTCTTGTTCTTTGCAGCAAAAAATTGTTGAAAGAAAACTATGTGTATAAAAAAAGATGAAGCCCCACCCACCCGCCTCGATCTCAGTTGTGATGAATTTTTCATTCCTAATCAGACAAGGGGCGGAGTTTAATTGTAACATATTATTTCTCTAGAAAATTCTGCCCTTTTAAAAACATATTTCATATGGTAATTTCTTGTAGAGAAATGAGGATTTTGCAACTAAACTCCTCCCTTCAGCTCACGATGAATAAAGCATTCATCACAATTGAGAAAGGGTGGGTGGGCGGGGCTTATATTTGGTCCATTTTTTCTTAGCTAATTATGTTCTTCGGTCGAGTGGCAGTGGAAATTAATAATAGAATAATGGAACAAAAATTAATAATAATTTCTTTTTTCATCCCAAAATTTTTCATAGAGAACTATTTTGACGAAACTCTAAAAATTAATGTACATATCACTGAAAAGGAGACCGGGTGGGTGGGCGGGGCGAATTAGGTTCTTTTGTTGAGTGGGAATGTAAACTAATTATAGAATCTAGGATGCGAAAAAGTAAAAATAATACTTGCTAAGATAAGACTGATTTTGGCAAATCACTTACCTTCCAAGAAAATAGAGGGTGGGTGGGCGGGTCTAGTACTGGCTAAGATAATAAAGATTTTGGCAAATGACATATTTTCCAAGAAAATTGAGGGCGGGTGGGCGGGGCTAGTACTTACTAAGATATCACTGAAAAAGAGACCGGGTGGGTGGGCGGGGCGAATTAGGTTCTTCTGTTGAGTGGGAATGTAAACTAATTATAGAATCTAGGATGTGAAAAAGTAAAAAAAAGCTCTAATCGTAACTTTTTTTGTTAAAATATGTCATTTGCCAAAATCTTTATTATCTTAGCGAGTACTAGCCCCGCCCACCCACCCTCTATTTTCTTGGAAGGTAAGTGATTTGCCAAAATCAGCCTTATCTTAGCAAGTTCTAACTACTAATTTTGTTTCTGTGCAGTCATTCATCACTGAAAAGGAGACAGGGTGGGTGGGCTGGGCTAATTATGTTCTTCTGTCAAATGGGAGTGGAAACTAATAATGGAATAATGGAACAAAAATTAATAATAATTTTCTTTTTTATCTACAAAATTTTTATAGAGAGCTAATTTGACGAAAGTCCAAAAATTGCTGTTTTCGAAAAACGGTAGAAATTTCCGAAGAAACGAAGGCGGAAATGTCTTCAACTAATTTTCAGATATATGTAGTTGAAAAATGCTCCAAAATGTTAAAAATGCCAAAAGTCTTATCTTATCAAATACAAATATTAATAATATTATTTCTTAGAATTAGAAGGACCTGGCGATGTTTTACATGGTAATTTCTTGTAGCGAAATAAGGGTTTTGCAATCAAGCTCCGCCCTCTTGGCTCACGACCAATAAAAGAATCATCACAATTGAGACAGGGCGGGTGGGTGGGGCTTATATTTGACCTTTTGTGATTTGTGGGGTTATTTGCAATGTTCTTAAAAAAAAGAAAACAAAAATTAAGCCCCACCCACCCGCCCTGATCTCAATTGTGATGAGTTTTTTTCATTCCTAATCAGACCGATGGACAGAGTTTAATCGTAACATCAATATTTCACTAAAAATTCTGCCCTTTTAAAAACATATTTCATATGGTAATTTTTTGGAGAGAAATGAGGATTTTGCAACTAATTTCGCCCTTCAGCTCACAACGAATAAAACATTCATCACAATTGAGAAGGGGTGGGTGGGCGGGGCTTATATTTTGTCCATTTTTCCTTAATATACGAAGTCTTCTTTTCCCAACAAGAAACTGAAAACATATCCTGTTGTTGAAAGAAAATTCTATATATTAAAACAAAAAATAAATATTAAAACCCACCCACCCGCCCCGATCTTAATTGTGATCAATTTTCCATTCGTTGTTAGACCGAGGGGCGGAGCGAATTGCAAAATACATATTTCTCTATTGACTTGAATGAGTTTGTTTTCTCAAAGCAGAGGACTCAAATTATTAATTAAACTACAATCGAACAAAATGTTATGAACATGAAAGCGGATTCGTATACTACAAGTATAGGAGTATATTTGTGTATAACATTCAACTCATTTTAAAATACGGTTCACTGAGATGATGTCATCAAATTGTTGTGGGGATGATTAGCCAAATTTTGGCTAGCGTTTAACCTACATGATATTTCTAACATACATATAAAATTTGACAACAATCGTCCAGCAGATTACGTGTCTAATAAAAATGGATACATACAGACAGACAGGCAGATAGATAATCAGAAAGGAAGACTACTTTTTTTGTACTGAAGGGGTCATGAAACGTCGAGAAAACATAAAAGTGGCAATTCGTCCGTTAACGCTCGGGAAGTAAAATCAGAATATATACAAATACAAAAGGGATTTCACTTGAAAAAAAGAAATGTGTTACGTCTCAAAAACAGAACATACTGTATAGTTAAAAATTTCGTTGCATGGACTTCAAAGAACTGTTACAATTTTTATCTTGGACTTTTTGTTCTATTTGTAATAATACTAATTAATGAGATATCGAGGAGCGCGCTTAGTGACTAATGTAGAATAGCCAGTAGGTATATGACATTTTGTACAACTTCAGACACAACAATGGTAACTTTAAATTACCTGTTCTTTGATTGTCAAGTACAGAACTCGAACTTTATAAGGTTATTATTTAACTTAGCTCATCTCGAGTATTGTGCAGTGTGAGAGAGTGTTACCAACCACAAATCAGCACTAAAAAAATTCCCACCAATTATCTGCTGACCCAGTTTCATGAATCACTTTTCATTTGTGCAATCAATTAATTTCGTTGCAGGAGTTGCGAAGACTGTGCCCTTAATCAAACCCCTTCCCAAGACATAATAGTGAACCGGCAATCCCCCGGCCCGCCAATCCAGATCTGCCAGAACGATATTTTAGTGGTGGACGTCGTCAATAAAATCCCCGGTCACACTTTAACGGTCCACTGGAGGGGTCAGCCTAACAACGAGGCGCCCTACATGGACGGCGTTCCCCTCGTGACCCAGTGCCCCATCGTCAGCTACACCACCTTCCAGTACAAATTCCGCGCCACCGCCCCCGGCACACACGTATACCAGGCGTTTTCCGACGACGACCGCTCACGAGGCACTTTCGGCGCCCTTATCATCCGCCAAAGCGAGAAAAACGACCCTTTAAGGAAACACTACGACGTGGATTCCAAAAAGCACGTCATCCTCATCTCCGAGGGCGACGATGCGCTGCTCATCAACGGCAAAGCGCCTTCGGACACCGGGGCGGCGGTGGAGGTCTTCACCTTGAAGCGGAATAAACGGTAAACAAAATTTAATTGTCGAGGAAATTCTGACCACGCATTTCAGGTACCGATTCCGCGCGGCCTTTGTGGGCGGCGACGGCTCCTGCCCTGTGTCCTTGACTATTGACAATCACCCAATTAGGATAATTGCGTTGGATGGAAATCCTGTTAGTCCTAACGAGGCCACCGCTGTTGTCCTTGGGAAAGGGGAGCGGGTTGACTTTGTGTTGAAGAGCGGCCAGGGTGCCAGCGGATATTTTTTGAGGGTGAAGTCGTGCAGAGGAGAAGGGTTGGCCCTGTTGAGTTATGAGGATGGGGGGAAAGGTCCGGAGAGCCTCGGGGCGGAAAAGGACGGGAGGAGTTTGGATACTGCACTTTGTGAAAGCCGGATTGGGAGGGTGTGTTTGAGCGATATGAAGGGGCTGCAAAGGATGCCCGAGAAGCTGAGGCATAGGGATAAAGTCGTGTACTTGTCCTTCGGATCCAGAATCGTTAATGTCAATGGTGAGTATTGGGTTAAGTAGGCGAGAGAAAGTCTGTGATATAAGAACCGGCGCGAGTGCAGTGAAAGTGATATGATGTAACGGCGTTACAGTAATTGCGAAAAAATGTACGAGGCGAGACAATTCGTATATGCACTAATTGGGCGGATACTTTAATGTGCAAAATTACGTTGTTTTCGGGTTTGTGGGATTTAAACCAGTTCCGATACGTACGAGAAGTATCGAGTTCACTAGTTTATTCCAAAACAACCTTAACTTGTTTTAAACGAGATTTGTTTCCAAGGAAAGAGTATAATAAACGAATTTTCACACCGACAGTTGAAAAAATAAAAAAAAAAGACTAAAGAGTATAGTTTTCTCATTTTGAGATCTGTAGTTGCTATAGTAGTAAAAATTGAGTATATCTATGCTGCATTTTTACTACTTTCCATTTTACCAAAATTTAAATATTTGATGGTACCAATACCAACAGCAACAAATTATACTGTGTGAAACGTCACGTTGCACTATTCATTTGTAGCAGATACATCGTGTTCCACTTTCTTATTTTTTTGCCAAAAATAGTTTTCGCTTTCGGCAACTAGCTATGCACTTTTATTGAATTTGACTTTCAACTAAATTTTTGGACGATGTCGGAGTGTGTGTCAATAAAAACTGTGTGGAATGGGACACTATAACGTTACTGGGTTAGGATCCTGTTTATAAGCACCCAAATGCGGGCATAAATTGGCTTTTATGGCAAAAAGCAGTCAAAAATTGCTAAGGAACGATCGATGATTCATTTACATTAATTAATTATGCAACCAAACATCGATATTCAACATTTTATTAAAGTTGGGAAAATAATATTTCATCATATCAGTCTCTGGCAGACTTTAAATTTTTCTAATTTTTTTTTTTAATAAACGTTTTCGGGTTTTTCAGTTTGCATTTGGAAAATTATTTATTTAACAAATAAACAACGTGGAGTCCATAACAACTTCAAAATAATACCCAACTATGTACTATATTTCGTTAAAAATATTTTAGAAATTAAAATAGAATAAACGTGGTATGTACCACGGGCATAATTGTCGCTTGTCGCCCTCGGGAAATTAAAAGTCCTCCTTCGTCGGGTTTAAACATTCCCTCGAATAATAATCTCCCTCATTATACCCTTAATACATAAATAACTATTTTTATATAATCAATAAATTAGTGTTAGTATCCCATCAAAATTTCAAAAAAGTCTGATATAATTATTTATTTAATAAATTAACAACATATATATAACAGACAAATTACGTTGCGACAATAAAAGTTGGGAAAAAATTTTGTCAAGAGTGCTTTGGATTTTTTTTAAATTGTATTGCCAGCATTGTCGATTTCTGTCATTTTCGTATGACAAGTGTCACGTTTATATTTTGAAATTATGTAAATCAATGTCAATAATAACTCGTTCTGTATCAAACATAACATTAAATTAGTAGATTTTTTTAATAAACGACAAAGCACACTTGATCGTAATTTAAGATAACGTCAAGTCGCCTCTATAATAGAACTCTCAAGACGTTTCATAGGTACTAGAATATGAAAACATAGGTCCACCATTTACGTTTATATATCGTCTGTCGTCAATTGTCGATTTTATAAAACAAGAAATCTTCAAAACTACCAAACAGATTGTTGCACTATTTAGATTTTCTTTAAGAATATCGTCTAGACAGCAAAGCGGTCATTAAGATTAGTTACTTCTTCCATTTCAAGAATGTGATGGACGAGATAATATTTTATAACAAAAATGTACGATTTTTAAAAAATTTTGAAAAAGTCATACCGAAATTTACAAATTTTCTTTTGTTATAAACATCTTTTGTTCATTATTTCTGTTGTTGTATCAAGTGTTATTGTAAATTTACAAAAGTGTATGTAAAATACCTTAAAAAAAAAAGTGATTTCCCGTTTCTGTCTGACGTTTCTGTCAATTTATATTAGACCGCTATTCTCCAAAACTACTGGATCGATTGTCGTCAAATTCTATATGTATATTAGGAGTCTAGTGGGGATGGTAAAGCACTTATCAAAATTTGTCTAATTATCCTCACCACCAATTTAATGACGTCCGTTCACTACATTGCGTAGTCAAGGTTATCTAAATTTTGTGAAATAATATATTCCTATACTCACGGTTTATGAATCCTTACTTTACAAGAGTTGAAGGTTGATTCCCAACTTGTGCGCTCCGTCGTGTAGCTTCGAATTCCATCTTTACTAAGTGTTTTTTTTTTATTGTGACTTGTGATTATATTTTAATTTCATTTCTTCAGCGTAAGCTAAAAAGTAAAGTAATTGAGTCCATCGGGCGACTTGCTAGATTCAAGTTTTCCCGACGTTTCATGATCCTTAGATTACGTTAAAGGGGTCCCTGTTTCCGAAACTACTGGACCGATTGTTGCATATTAGGAATATCATGTAGATGGTAAAACCAACCAAGCTTTGTATAATTTTTCCCCACCAACAATGAGAAGATGGAACCCTAAAATTGTACAGAATAATTGGGTTTTAGATTGTATCAAATAACGTAGTCCTACACATGTAGTTTATGAATCCGTGTTGAGAGACATACACATTTTTGGAAAAAAAATCAAAATTTTATAAAAACATTTTGCAAATCTTCCAGACGTTTTAAGAATACTGTAATCATGGAACATTTTTAGTCACAATATATTTTGTTTATGCCCCCCCCCCCCTAAATTAATGACGTTTGGCCGAATAAATCCTATCGAAAATTGCAAAATATGACGAATCTACACTTGCAATTTATCATTGTATTCACTTTTTTAGAATTGCTTATACAGGGTGACTCCGAAAAATGTATGTTATGGATAAAATCAGGAACGGCTCACTTCATTTTCCCGGAAAATTAAGAATACAATACTGTTATTAATAGTATTACACTGCACATATCCAAACTGATATACGTGTCCTTCCAAAAATGTTGATGACGTCATCACACACCAATCACCAATGAGATATCAGATGTTTTAGCCCTGCATTTTTTCCCTTAAAGATTTTGTATTTAGTAAAGAATATCATTTTTATCGTGTAGTTGTAAGACAGATTAATCTAAAACTAGTTTTAAACGTTCAGATATTCGCATTTTTCAGTGATTAGATAATCAATAAATTATCATCTCACAATTTTGCTAAGTAAATCTTGCTTCAACTTAATGCTTCTTTATCGATGAGTTATTAATGTATCCATATTTTTTAACCCTACGCATGAGGGTTATCCCAAAAAAGATAATACTTATACTCTCATCAAAAAATTAAGTTCGCAAAATCAAATTTTATAATTTTTCGAAAAACCTGAATATGTTTTATTGTACTTCTCGATCGAGGGAAATTTTGCAAAATCAATTTTATAATTTCCCAAAGAGACTGGATTTGTTCGATTGTGTTTAAGGAGCGGGGAAAATTCCGTCTAAATAACCTTAGACCAATTTTTTAATTTAAGAAAGCAAGTCATTTCAAGTTCAGTTATTACCGATCTATCACAGCTGTTATTTGCAGGATTTCATAATCCAGTGTTATTTCAAATCCGAAATTGAGGACGATTACAAACACCTATTAGATTAGTGAAAAAATTTTAAATATGGTATTTCAACATGCAGCACTTAAATTGCGTTTTTCCACATCTCACGTTTGTTAAATTGTTGAAATATAAGAAATCAGGTAGACACTGTACAATGTCGACGATACTTTTAAAAATTAAGTATTTCTTTAAAAGTGCTTCATGTTACACTTTTTGCTTTAAAACAAGTACCCTGAAAAAGCACGCCAGAAACGTGATCCGTACGAAAACATGCTTTTGATCATATGAGAAAATATATTTTTACACCACCATTAGCGACGTTAAAAAAATTCATCATGGTTAAAAAACTACGTTTGAACAAACAAATACTGAAACGAAAAAGTGCCCTTTCACACTTGTATAAAAAAAATATTTCACATTTACGAGTGATTTATTTTTTGTGCAAACATTGTCAGCACTGTTTTATTGTTGTAATCTAAACAGACAGAATTTTTATTTGACATTAAAAATTCTGTACGAAATTACTGAAAACAATAATTTTATGGATGTGTGTAGTGAGTTTCAGTTGCTCTTAGAATATATTAACTTAAAACAATCCCATTTTGTCCAGAATGTTGGAGCTATGTTCATATTTTATTACGCAATAAATGTTAAATTACTCACAACTTTGTAGTTAAGCTAACTAACTTTACAATAAGCTCACTATTATGGTGAATTATATGAAGCTAGACGTAAACGTAGAAATGTAGAAGTTGGCAGCTTCGAATTTTCGCGATAGCAGACGTTCGTCTTCAATTTCCTTCTTAACTATTCCACGACATTTATGGTCAAGCTAGTCAAGGAAACAATAAAAGGGTTTCACATACATAGATCCTTTAAATTCGCATTCTTTAAGCGTGCGTTGTCATTTCCAGGCAAATTCAGCTCGAGGGTGTACGGCGTCAACAATTTGACATTCACTTATCCCTCGTCACCCCTACTAACTCAACTGGACCAAGTCTCCTTGAGTACGATATGCGACGAGCTAAATGTCCCCGAGAAATGTCAAGGAAAGGAAATTTGCGAGTGTATTCACGTGGAATACATCCCACTGGGAGCGTCAACCGAAATCATTCTTATTAATCAAGGTTCGATCTAGTTTAAACTTGTAATTATTGTCTCCGAAGGCAACAATTATCATTAATTAGCCCATGATTCACCAGATGAGACTGATCACGAGCACGTTTTCCATCTGCACGGATACCGCTTCCATTTAGTCGGATTTCGACAGTTCGACAGCGCCCCCTCCACAGAAGAAATGAAATTTTTGGACAAGAAAAATGCCTTGTTTAAGAGGAATTTCAATAACCCGGTTGTGAAGGACACGGTTCGAGTTCCGAAGAACGGCGTCGTTGCGTTGAGGTTCCTGGCGAATAATCCTGGTTTGTTTACCTTCTTAGCACGGATTGAGGATACACGAAGTGTTACTTCCGGAAAAAATCGCTGAAAAAACTAGTCCAGAAGCTACACTTCGTGTAGTACTAGGCGGACTTTACAAGACGCTTTTTCAGGTTTCTGGATGCTGAGAGATGAAAAGTCGAAGGGGTGGACGAGAGGGATGGATATCGTTTTTCAGGTGGGAGATTCGAGTGATTTGCCTTCCACTCCATCGGATTTTCCGACGTGCGGAAATTATATTGGTCCGGATTTCTTCCTGATGTAAGGCTGAATCATTTATAAAACGTGATAATTGTACAAACGTGTGCTTAGTTAGACATCACTTGAGTCATTTATTGTAGGATAAGTGTATTTATATTTGTTTTTCTTTTTATTGTAAAAATAAATTCTGTTCTTGTTGTACTCGTAGTTCTGTTTATTGACGATCACGTTTCGAATGAGTAGTTTGTGATTGACGTTGCTCAAGGTTGTTTGATAATTGAATTATCGGTGATAGTTCTGGAACTCGACGATAATTAGTGATTTTAAGATCATGGTGCTAGAATGACGAGGGTTTCGCAATCGGAGTCACATTGCCTTTTGCGTTCTTTATTATCAGTTAAAATGTTTTAAACAAACGGAGAGTTTATATATAATTATAAATTTTGAACAAATATACACATTTCTGTCTAAGTATGATTTAGATATTTGCTAGCAAAAAATCATTATGCTTAAGGTAACAAACACATCATTGTTAGTCAGTTAATAGAAATCTCATGTTCCTCGTAGACATGTTTATTTATTTATATAAATTAATAACTGAGCTTATTATTTGAAGTAAGTATATTCTAGGTAAATTGTAACATATTGAAACGAGAATTTCTATTCACACAACTTTTTACTTAAGCCAAAAAACCATTAAGTAGTTTTTAATAACAAAAAATAAAGAAACTCAAAAACAAAATTAGAAATATTAAGCACAAACTTATAGGGTGGAAAGGTTATAATAAAAGAATTAATAATTTTAAACTAATCGTAAATGCTTTTCTAATGATGGAGATGCAAAGAAATACATAACGTATTTCGTTGTTTCGACAGAATTTCCCTCGCTTCCGAAGTACAGTCCAACAAATACTGCTTTTCTGAAAAATTCTGAAATTTATTTTTTCGTGATAACGTCTATTGAGTAAAAACAATATAGAAGGTACTAGTCACAGCGTACTAGAAAAAAGAGAATTTCACCTTCTTAAAAAAGACCAATGGGAGCCCAGAGAAGATTCAATATTCTTAAAAAAAGACACTTGGGACCCTCGAGAAGGTTTCACATTCTAAAAAAAATACATTTGGGACCCAAGAGGTTTCGCCTTTTTTAAAAAAGGACAGTTGGGACCCCCGAGAAGGTTTCACATTCTTACAAAAGACATATGGCACCCCCGAGAAGGTTTTACATTTTTAGAAAAGACAGTTGGGACCCCCGAAAAGGTTTCACATTTAAAAAAAAATACATTTGGAGCCCCCGAGAAGGTTTTACATTTTTAAAAAGGGCAATTGGGACCCCCGAGAAGGTTACACTTTTTTAAAAAAGACAATTGGGATCCCCGTGAAGGTTTCACATTCTTAAAAAAGACATTTGGGCCCCGCGAGAAGGTTTTACATTTTTAAAAAAGACATTTGGGATCACTGAGAATGTTTCACAATAAAAAAAAATACATTTGGCGCCCTCGAGAAAGTTTTAGATTTTTAAAAAGACAGCTGGGACACCCGAGAAGGTTTTACTATCTTAAAAAAGACACTCGGGGCCCCCGAGAAGGTTTTAAATTTCAAAAAAAAAACAGTTAGGACCCCCGAGAAGATTTCACATTCTAAAAAAAAAAACATTTGACGCCCCCGTGGAGGTTTCATATTTTTTAAAAAGACACTTGAGACCTCCGAGAAGGTTTCACATTTAAAAAAAATATACATTTGGGGCTCCTGAGAAGGTTTCACATTCTTTAAAAAATACATTTGGAGCCCCTGAGAAAGTTTTACATAAAAAAACAGTAGAGACCCCCGAGAAGTTTTCACATTGAAAAAAGAGATTTGGGACCCCTGAGAAGGTTTTACATTTTTAAAAAAGAGAATTGGGACCCCCGAGAAGGTTTCACATTCTTAAAAAATACATTTGGGCTTATCGAGAAGGTTTTACCCTTTTAAAAAAGACAGTTAGAACCCCCAAGAAGGTTTCACATTAAAAAAAAACATTTGGGGCCCCCGAGAAGGTTTTACATTTTTAAAAAAGGCAATTGGAACCCTCGAGACGGTTTCACATTTAAAAAAAAACAATTGGGATCCCCAAGAAGGTTTCACATTGTTAAAGAAGACATTTGGGGTCCGCGAGAAGGTTTTACATTTTTTAAAAAGACGGTTGGGTCCTCCGAGAAGGTTTCACATTAAAAAAAAAAACATTTGGGGCCCCCAAGAAGGTTTTACATTAAAAAAAAAAGACAATTGGGACCCCCGAGAAAGTTTTAAATTAAAAAAAAAAAACAGTTAGTACCCCCGAGAAGATTTCACATTCTAAAAAAAAAAAAACATTTGGCGCCCCCGTGGAGGTTTCATAGTTTTAAAAAAGACACTTGAGACCTCCGAGAAGGTTTCACATTAAAAAAAAATACATTTGGGGCTCCTGAGAAGGTTTCACATTCTTTAAAAAATACATTTGGAGCCCCTGAGAAAGTTTTACATAAAAAAAACCGTTGAGACCCCCGACAAGCTTTCACATTAAAAAAAGAGATTTGGGGCCCCTGAGAAGGTTTTACATTTTTAAAATAGAGAATTGGGACCCCCGAGAAGGTTTCGCGTTCTTAAAAAATACATTTGGGCCTACCGAGAAGGTTTTACCCTTTTAAAAAAGACAGTTGGAACCCCCTAGAAGGTTTCACATTAAAAAAAAGACATTTGGGGCCCCCGAGAAGGTTTTACATTTTTAAAAAAGGCAATTGGAACCCCCGAGAAGGTTTCACATTTAAAAAAAAAATACAATTGCCCCACCGAGAAGGTTTCACATTTTTAAAAAAGACAATTGGGATCCCCGAGAAGGTTTCACATTCTTAAAGAAGACATTTGGGCCCCGCGAGAAGGTTTTACATTTTTAAAAAAGGCAGTTGGGTCCTCCGAGAAGGTTTTACATTAAAAACAGAGATTTGGGGCCCCTGAGAAGGTTTTACATTTTTAAAAAAGAGAATTGGGACCCCCGAGAAGGTTTCACATTCTTAAAAAACACATTTGGGCCTACCGAGAAGGTTTTACCCTTTTAAAAAAGATAGTTGGGACCCCCGAGAAGGTCTCACATTAAAAAAAAGACATTTGCCGCTCCCGGGAATGTTCTTCATTTTTTAAAAAGACAGTTGGGACACCCGAGAAGGTTTTACAATCTTAAGAAAGACATTTGGGGCCCCCGAGATGGCTTTACATAAAAAAAAAAAAAACAGTTAGGACCCCGAAAAGGTTTCACATTCTAAAAAGAAAAACATTTAGCGACTCCAAGGAGGTTTTATATTTTAAAAATAGATACTTGGGACCCCAGAGAAGATTTCACATTCTTAAAAAAATACATTGGGGCCCTTGAGAAGGTTTCACATTAAAAAAAAAATTGAGACCTCCGAGAAGGTTTCACATTAGAAAAGACAATTGGGACCTCCAAGAAGGTTTCACATTGTAAATCTAAAATACAGTGAAATATATTCAGCATTTTTGAGTTGAGTTTTTACTTTACAGAATTTTGTAACCACGTCATCAACATTTTTGCAAGGGCCCGTATGTCAACTTGAATTGGTGTAGTGTAATACTAAAAATAAGAGTAAATTCTATTCTAACTATGCTATTCTATTGTATTCCCAAAATTTCTGGGAAAATGGAGTAAGCCGTTCCTGATTTAACCAATAAAATACATTGACACATTCATTAATTTTTTTTGAGCCACCCGCACCTGTATAAAAAATATGAATGCAATGATAAATCACAAGTAAAAACTCATCATATTTTGCACATTTTGGATAGATTTAGGAATTTAACGCGTTACTATTGAAATTTGCAATTTAACACCTTTAAATTTCACAAGTTTTTGCAAGATTAATAGGGGCAAAATCAGTTTTATCTTAACAAATACTAGGTACGCCCACCCGCCCCCTATTTTTCCTAAGGATATGTCATTTGCCAAAATCAGTCTTATCTTACCAAGTACTAGCCCCGCCCACCCGCCCCCTATTTTCTCAGAGGATGTGTTATTTGCCAAAATCAGTCTTATCAGAGCAAGTACTAGCCTAGCCAACCCCTATTTTCCCAAAGAATATGTCATTTGCCAAAAATCAGTCTTATCTTACCAAGTATTAGCCCCGGCCACCCGCCCCCTTTTTTGTAAGAGGACGTCATTTGCCAAAATACGTCTTATCTTACCAAGTACTAGCCCCGCCCACCCGTTCTTTATTTTCTCAGAAGGTAGTACTCGCTGGTACTTGCTCGCTAGTCTTATTTTGGCAAATGACATATCCTCTGAGAAAATAGGGACGGGTGGACACTTGCTCAGATAAGACTGATTTTGGCAAACGCCATACCCTCTGAGAAAATAGAGGGCGGGTGGGCGGGGCTAGTACATGCTAAGATAAGACTGACTTTGGCAATTGCTGTACCCTCTGAAGTAACTTATTTTGGCAAATGACAAACTCTGGGAAAATAGGAGGCGAGTGGGCGGGGCTAGCATTTGCTAAGATAAGACTGATTTTGTCCCTATTAAACTTGTAAAAACTTATTAAATTTAAATGTGTTCAGTCATGAATTTTTCTGACACACCCTGTAAAAGCAAATTAAAAAAATATTAATTATATTAAAAATAAATCACAACTATAGACTCATCATCTTTTGTATATTTAATGCGGAGTATATTCAGCATTTCAGCAATATTCATGATTTTTTTAGGGGGATGAGCAAATATATTTTGATCAAAAATTTACCATGCTTATGAAAACTTTAAAACATCTCCAAGATCACCCTGTTTAAGCACATTCAAAAGATATGAATGCAGTGATAAATCACAGACTGATCATATTTTTCACATTTTAGGTGGGATTTATGCGGAAAAATTTTGAGACGTCATCAATTTTTAGAAGGAGATAAGCAAATATATTTTTATTAAAAATTTATTATGCTCAACATAAATTTAAAACATCTGCAAGATTTCAAAGCATGCAGTTTGGCGGATTCAAAATTAAAATGCTGTTTTATAATTTTGATTTTTTTACAAAAATCTGGAAGTTTTGGGTAAAAACTCAACACGGAGTCATAAACTACATGTGTAGGTATAATTTAAAACCCATTTACTATGTACAATTTTGAAGTGACGTCATCACATTATTGTTGGGTATGATTAGACAAATTTGGGTCAGCGTTTTATCATCTACATGATATTCCTAATATAAATACAAAATTTGACAACAATCAGCCCAGTACTTTCGGAGATTATCTGTCTAGTAAAACTCCGTGACGGCAGACAGACAGACGGAAAAGGGAGACCTATTTCTTCGTACGCTAGGGGTCATGAAAGGTAGAGAAACGAAAATTCTAAAGTAAATTTAAAGAAGAAAAGGACAGGGATTACGGAAGAGAGACACTTATATGAAGAAATAAACATCAAAATGAAAACTTATCAAGAAGGGAAAATGAACACATTTTTGGAACTATGTTTTTGGAAATAAAAGATAGAGACAAGGTGAATCGGCGACGGTTTTTTATAAATTTAATCATTAGCGACACCAGTTATGTTTCCACTTAAAAATAAAATTTATAAACTGAAATTAAACCAGTTAAAGAGATAGTAGGAGTATTTTTTTGTAATTAAGTCAGATAACTCAATAAGACGTTAACATTTTTTTATTTTGACTCAAGTTTGTATCAGACTCAAATCTAAAGCAGAGATTAATTCAAATCTACCTGCTACCGTCTGGTCTTGTTTTTTATTTCAGTCAGTATTTTTCCTTTGTTACATCATAGTCAACGAATCCTAAAATTCAATTCTTTAAGCGGAAAGAATCAGGGAACTGGCAAAAAATACATACGTCCTTGGTAACTACGTTGTTGATTATAGTGCATTTTTTAGAGAAAATACAACTACTCAAGAAATTGTAATATCCATCTCCACTCCCTAAATGTACAATTTCGTAACTCAGAATAAAGACCCAAAAATCCAGCCAAATTAAAAATAAACATCAACAGTTCCAAAAAATGGTGAAAAATGTTTTCCTTGAATTAAAACCCCCTGTGAGAAGCATTGTTTGAAATATTACCGTCATTTTAAAGAGAAAAATCAGCACAAAAAAATCGCTGCTTGATGAATTTATTTGAATGAAATATACTTAGATAAAAAGTGCATCTCGTTACTCCTGTCTTTTCAGCAGTTATTCCCTTGTTGTTTCTGTGCATGCATAAATTTTCCTCGTTTTCCTCTAACAATAGCTGAGTTCTTTTTCTTTATCGTTGAAAGAATTTAACACACACACTTTCTCATAGGTATTTAATTCCATTTATTCTTCCCACCTAGATTTATTTAGTTGCACCCATTTATCACTTTTTATTGATTGCTTTTTACACTCATTTGTTCAAAACACACGCTCCATTTCCGAAATAAATTTATTATCCGGCCACTGCGGTCGTGAAAACTGCATTTATTTTATAAATTTTTTAATATTACCCCAAATATTGTAATATTGAATAACCAAAAATTATGCGTCACATTTGCAGAAACGTTCAATTTAGTTCCACAGTTTATACGTTATGCTTCATTTAACTGAAAGTTTCTTTATTAAAAATATTTCATCTGATTTTCGTTTTTGAAATAATTTATTGCATTGCATCACGAAATACACGGATGCAAAAAGTAATAGAATCAAATATACGTGCTATAAATTTACAGTGTGCAAGTTACACAAGCGCTTGATTATTTGCTCAGTAAAAAATATTATTGTTTCTGTATTTGCTGATTAAGCGTTTCCGGTTGACAATGTGGCAAGAATTAACTAGTACGAACTTTTCGAATTTCAAAATTTTTCGATACTCTTTTTGAAAGCGTTCGTATTGTTCTTGTTGTTTATGGATAGTATGCTCACTAGACATTAAGTTTGTCAATGAAAATAGTGCGCATTACCACCATTATAGAACACCATAGAAGCGTGATGTAAACTCTCTTAGTACTCAAAGTTGTCATTTGACACATTACTATTTATCTAACATAATTTGTTGATTTTTGGGTCACCATATTGTGTGTGTTATGGTCACCTTGAAACCACTGGCAAACGACTCAAAATATTTTCGTCGCAGTTTTATCGATTTTTCGTTTTCAACCGGAAATATGATCTGCAACTTGTTTTCAAAACGGGTTAATTATTAAAGGCAGCTTTGTTATCACTGATAACGAACCAATTTCCTGGTAAAAACATGGATACTTAAATGAATTGAACAGCGCTAATTCAATTAATTATGTGATTGATCAATAAGATAAAATTTAATATAGACGTAGCGTTTATACCGAATAGAGCATCCACTGTACACGTGGCCAGCTCGTAACCTTCATTACCATTATCATTAGCAATTTTCATTCCCTAACGCTTGTATTTATTTTGACAACGGTAAGTTTTACAAAGACTAGAAAATCCGCCACCACAGGACGATTTTTTGCAAACCCCTATTACGCTTTCTCTCAAAGGAAGTGCTCACTCGCACAGATAAAAAACCAAATTTAACGTCAGCATTTCACCCAGAGCTCATCTTCCTTGCCAACATTCTCGACTTCTTAATTAAAAATAATTATCAAAACAAACTTCCTCTCATAATTTCTTTGGAAGTCGACACCCCGCGAGTAATGATGATGAAGATAATGAACTTTTTTCTGCAAAAATAATCCAATATTAAATCGCGTAAATAACGAGCGACGCATTCGGTTTTTTAATCTGGTAACTGGAGAGAATGTGTCCGTTGCAAAATATCCTACCTATCCGATTGGTATTTATAGAAAGTGAACGAACTGTATTGTTAGATGGCAGTCTGGTAGCGGTCTTGTATAGTTAGTTCAGCGGTGTGGCGTTGGTACCACGCGAAAACGCCGACAAAATTCGGGGTCCCCGCCAGAAATTATTAGTTTGATTTGAATCGACGGTTATCCAACAACCAGGTAAGCATTAGTTTCCAATTATTATTTGTTCATCTTTATTGCGTCAAAGTTTTTTTTCACTTTCAACAGTATTATTACTATTATTTGTTTTATTTTTGTTTTTTTATTATAATTTTCGTTGGGTATATGTAGTATCTAATGCACTTGGTAATTTTATTGTAATTAAATTCTGATGCTCTGTTACACCGTCGACGTATTGCATCAGCCAAACAATGCATTTTTTATCGCTTTTTGTGCTTCACGGCTCATTGTCATTCCAAATCGTCCAAATTCAATGCATTCTTTCACCACAGTATGCAATTTTTTGGCTGTTACCAACCAAAAATCTATTTTTTCTGCGAATTTCAAGTCCAGAACACGTGCCAATAGATGGAGACATTGACCTCTAAAAGTGCTCCATAGAAAACACATTTCTGGATAATGATTTGGGACGTATTCAGCAGGGATCATTTCGTCCCCTATAACATAAAACCCTTCGGTTTTAAATTTGCCGAATTGTCGTAAAACTGAACCCCAACTAGGTAATAAACATGAATAATGACGTGTGTTTCCTTATGTACGTGTTGTGTTTCACCTAGGTCCTTCTCTAAGTGAAGGTTTTAGAAAGGTGCTTGATTTGTTATATTTTGGGTCTGGAACGAACTTTGACTCGCGACCAAGTGCAATCAAAACAAAACGAAATTGTTTAAATCGATTTCAATTGACAGACTTGTTATTTGTGAAACACAATCACATGTTGAGTTAACTATTGTTCCAATAATTGGACGCTGGGTTGCATGTTGTCACACAAAAGTTCGGAGATAGGTAATTTAGCCAGTAAATATAATTCTGGTAAAATACGTAGTTGTGTGATAAAATCTGTGGTTACCACAAATTTGTGTAATAGAAAGGAAAAAGGTAAATTATAGGGGTTAGAGTCAGAATCGGCGTAGTCCATGAACCGAGACTGTTCGAAATATATTCGCACAAAAATCGATTCATACTTTTTAATAAAAAAAAAGTTTGTTACAACATCTGTACGAAATGCCTCAGCAATTATCTTCACTACGGTATTTAAAGAATTCAGAATGACCCTAAGGCATTTTTTTAAGACCAGTTTGCAATGTAGTAAAGTTGAATCACAAGCTCTCAAATTAAAAAAAGTATATATCACGACCGGCAACTGCAGAACTCGTTATAACCAGTAAAACTAAAGCTTCTAATTTTTCCTGTAGTGTTACTTTGATTTTTGTTATTTTCTTTACACACGATCAGCAAACATCCATAAATATTCTTGTTGTGTTAATTTAATTGTTCACGTTTGATGGGTCTAATGAATGACTGCATTACGCAGTCAAACAATGCATGTGTGAAAATGACACCCAACGAATCTTATGATTTAATGTGTTTGTATACAACGTGTCATTTTCACAATATTTATTCATTTCTAAATGGATTTTCAAAGCACTGATAATTGATAGTGTGTACTGTGTAAGCGTTTTAAATCGTGTACCAACCCCTCATTGAATATTTATTTCCGCTTCGAAAGCTTTCCTATTGACACACCCTTGCAAAAAGGTGTTTGCTCATACATATATTTAAATTTTTGGTGTGCTTTTTCGTGGAGGTGTTAATAATTTACAACCGTTTTAGAATAATTGAAGGTTGTGTATGTTTCCGAATGCAGCGTCCTACTTTAGTTTTTTTTTAGACTCACTTTTGCTTATACTTCGCCTCGATTTTTCCGAAAGCGTGATTTGTATTTTTAGAAGTTTGTATTGACGAAGATTTAAATAGTTGTCATTCCTGTTGCCAAGCTGTTGTTAATTAGAATTTTGCAGTTATACAACAACTTATTTTTAAATTAGGTCTAAAGACGAGTTGGAACGGAGATGAAAGAATTTAAAAATGTAAAATGAGTTCTGAAATCTTTTCCACGTTTTAATTTCGTGTGTGTTAATTTCGTGGAAACGGGTTCAGTAGGTGTAAAATTTGAAAGTAGGTGCCTTACCTCGATGCGGTATGATATAACTTTCCGTTCCTTTGCTTCTATTATTTATCATATATTTTGACGTCCGCCTACGGCTTTCCCATTTTTTAAATAAAATATTTCGCTTGTACTGATCCGTATGCTTTTTATAAAAAATGCTCACACGATATTTCATAAAACTTTTTATAACTCGTCGACGAAGCAGGATATAATAGAGCAAATGCACTTAAAAACGAAAAGGTAAAAAAGTAAGTCAAGGCGACGTATTGATCTAAGTTCTGATTTTTTATTAAAATTAATGAAAACAATTTCACGTTATTTATGCCACAATATGCTTAATAATGCGGCAATTGATGTTCTTTATCTCCATTATCTTCTCTAATTTATATGTCATTAAGTTTTTGATACTTGAAATCCTTAGGGTTAGCTGAATTGTTTCGCTCCACTTTACTACAATGAGTTAATCATCCGAACATTAATAACGTGCTCTTCATGTGCTTTATAATGAATATACCAAAGTGATTACCAAGGATTTAGCTTGTGACGTTTTTAATCGCGCGTTTGATTGATAATTTTAGGTCGCTGCGTTAAAAGCTCGTGATTTTAAAACAAAATTAAGAAACGAATTTTCCCGACCCGTTCGATTGCCAATTACAAAAATAATTCGGACCCTGCTCCCCAAAGTTTAACCGATTCCAACGAAAATTTTTCCGTTTATAGACAAAATTATTTCGCTCTAGAAAAAAAGTTATGTCACTAAATATTTAATTGATTTGTGTCCACTCACATAATTGCGGTGAATGTTGTAAAACAGTAATCGAATTAATGAATTTTTAATTTGTTTGTAATTTAGTCCACATCCAAGTTGTCGATTTTCAGCCCTGCCGAAAATATTCGTGCTTTTTTTGTCCGTTTCTATATAAATCTTGCGTTCTTAATGCGGCTCGAATCGAGTTCTAAAAATACAAAACCTGACCTAACGTAAGCAAAGCCGTGAACTTGTTTCTTAGCTAGAGTTAGAACTGCGGACAATTATAACACTCGATTCACAATTCTGGCTCTACTATTATTATTAGTGTAATTTTTCGCAGCCCCAGCTACAATGTCGAACCTCTGGGAGGCCCATTCCACTCCACAAACCTTCGAAAAACCATCGTTCATAAAACTGAAGGTGTCTCCCGAAGATAACCCCCAGAAGGATTGTAAGACGGTCACTTATAAACCACCTGCTCATGACGACGACGAACGAGGCGGCTGGGGAAATAAACTCGACTTTCTTTTTTCATGTATTAGCTTGTCAGTCGGACTGGGAAACGTCTGGAGATTCCCGTACTTGTGTTACAAAAATGGCGGAGGTAGCGAGATGTCGGGATTTATCGCACGGTTTTACAATTTCATGCTTTCAGGAGCTTTCATACTCACGTATAGCATCGCCATGGTTATTTGCGGGATACCCATGTTCTTTCAAGAAGTCGCCATTGGCCAGTATTTGGGTTCGGGAGGCATGACCTTTGTGGGGCAGTTGTGTCCCATTTTCAAGGGCGTGGGATATGCCGCCATGACTCTAGTGTTTTTGTTAGATATTTATTATTGTATTATTATAGCGTGGACTATATTTTATTTGATGAGTACGTTTTCGTATCTACCGACGCTGCCATGGTCAGGTTGTGGTAAGTAGAAGAATTTTTATAGTTTGAGTTTGAGATCTAGAATTTGAAATTCGCCCATAACAATTTTATCTTGATATTGAAATTTTATCTAAATCCTATCGGAAAATACCGGGTCTATTTATTGCATCAGCTGCAATTTTTCTGCTCTTTCTAAATTCGTAAGAGAAAAGGAGGAGTTAATGACTCTTAACTTGCATTTCACATGTCGATGGTGCCAAAACATTTTATTTTTAAATTTAGCGTCAGTGCAAGTAAATACAAAGTTCTGTTTCTTTGCACTAATGTAATCTAGATTTCGGTCTTTTCTTAAAATATTTTGCATCGACATCTATGTACATATAACACTGCAAACAAGAAAAAAACACCCCAATATCGACAAAGAATTTTCTTTTTTCAGTGTCGTATAGAATTATCGATACAATGGCTAAATGCCAAGAAAAAAATACATTTATTCCAAGCGAAAATTTTTAGAAATATTACATTTTTGGTAAACTGAGTTAAATATCTACTTTCTTGAATAGGATGACTAATATGTTGATATATTTTTTCGTATTATCAATGTATCAGAACTATTGTTATGTTTTATCTTTTTGAATTTCATATCTTAACGCTCCTCAACAAAAAATATTTAAACCCTTCATCCTGTGAAGTTCCCATTCTATTTTACAGATTACATAGTGGATTTAGAAATTTTGGTGAGGGATTAACGTGATTAGGGATTATAGAACTTAGCTAAAATTTATTTATAATCCTTTCCAGGAAATTTATGCCGTTATCTCAAGAATCACGCAATAGATCTTTAATGAAAAGCTAGAGGTGAGGTGCAGAATTATGAATGTTTACTAATATTATATATTTTTTAAATAACTACATGGCGTATCTCAAAAGTGCACTTAAGACACATAATCTCCGAAATTACTGGCCCGATTGTTGTCAAATTATTAGTATTACACTGTATCTATCCAAAGAGATATACATACGTGTCTCTGGAAAAATGTTGAAGACGTCATCACAGAATTTTGTAATGGAAAAACGCACTTGAAACAAACGGATTTGCTTTAACATTACATACATATCTTTAATTTAATTTATAAAGGTTACCATAAAAAAATAAAATTCAGAAAATAAAATCTTATACTTTTTAGAAAAATCTTTTGATATCACAATATTCGTCATTTCTTTTTCTTTAATTTTTTAATTTTTCCGTTTTTTAATGCTTCCGATTAATAGTTTTTTGTTTCTTGTTCGACTTTAATTTTTTTAAATTTTTTAATTTCTAGACTACCAATTCTCTAAATTTTTTGATATTACAATTTTCCATTTTTCGATTTCTCGTTTCCTCAGTTTTTGAAGTTCTTGATTTTTAAAATTTCATTTTCTCGATTATATTCTAATTTTTCGTTTTTTTTTCCTTTATTTTTTCAATATCTTTATAAATTTTCATTTACTCAATTTTTCAAATTTTGTATCGTTGATTTTCAATTCTTCGATTTTCCAAAATTATTCAATTTTCTGATTTCTTTAATTTCCAATATTTCGTTTATACAATATTTCGTTGTTTCGATTTTGCAGTTTTTTAGTTTTTAAGTTTTTTAATTTTTGATCTTTCGATTTTTTTATTTTTTTCATTTCTTCAATTTTTCAAGTTCTTGATTTCCAATTTATAGATTTTTCAAAATTTCTATTTTATCCTTTTGCTTTTTCTTCGATTTTTCAATTTTTCGTTTCCTCAATTTTTCAAGTTCTCTATTTTAAAATTTTCATTTTCTCAATTATATCTTAATTTTTCGTTTTTTCATTTCCTTTATTTTTTCAGTGGTTTTAAAACTTTTCGTTTACTCAATTTTTCAAATTTTGTTTCGTTGATTTTTAATTCTTCGATTTTCGAAAATTTAAATTTTTCAATTTTGCAATTATCATTAGATTTTCCAATTTTTCATTTCTTCAATTTTTTAAGTCCTTGATTTCCAATTTTTAGATTTTTGATTTTCTTGTAACACGGCGTTTGGATTTTTCTATTTATGTATTCGAAAATTTGAAAAATCGAACAATTAAAAAACAGAAAACTAAAAAATCTGCACTTCGCACTTTTTCGATTATTTGAATTTCTCGATCTTTAATCTCCCGATTTTTCGTTTCTTCAATCTTTCAAGTTTTCATTTTATAATTTTTCGTTTTTCATTTTTGTTTTTCCAATTTTAAAATTTTTTTGATTCGAAAAGTTCAAAATCCGAAAAATCGAAAGCTTAAAAATCGGGAAACTAAAAAATCGGAGATGATTGAAAAATCGAAGAATTGAGAAAACCAAAAATTGCTAAATCTTAAATTGGAAAATCGAAAAATTGAATACTCCTGAAATTGCAAATGGATAAAATTCAAAATCTAAAAATCGAAAGACTGAAAAATTAAAAATGAGTAAAAGGTGCATATTGTATAATTGAAGAAACGAAAAATTTGAAAAATTGATGTTGGAAAAACAAAAACCGAAACTAAAAATTGCAAGTCTAAAATTTCAAGAAATGAAAAATTGAAGAATCGAAAAATTGAACAATTAGAAATTGAAAATTCGAGAAATTTTAAATTGAAAAATTACAAAATCTAAAAACTGAAGAAACAAAAAAATGAAAAATTGAAAAATTTCAAATCGAAAAATTGAAGAAACGGGAAACTGAAAAAATTAAAATTGAAAAACAAGCATTTATATAATCGGAACATCGAAAAATTGAATACTTGAAAAAATAAAGAAAATAAAAAATCGAAACTACAATAAAGGTTATCATAAAAAAAAAATTCTCAAAATCAAATCTTAAAATTTTTTGAAAAATCTTTTCAATTTTTCGTTATTCCGTTTTCAACGACTTTACGATTTTTTGATATCACATATTTTTCGTTTTTTCATTTTCTTTCATTTTTCAATTTTTCCATTTTTTAATGCTTCGGTGTCATAATTTTTCATTTCTTATTCAACTTTACTTAATTTTTTTAAACTTTATTTAATATTTAAATTTTTTGACTACCAAATTTTTCAATGTTTTGATTTTATAATTTTTTATTTATTCAATCTTTCAAAATTCAAATTTTGCATTGTTGATTTTCAAATCTTCCAAAATTTAAATTTTTCGATTTCTCAGTTTTTCGATTTTCCAATTTCTTTAATTCTCAATATTTCGATTATACAATATTTCGTTTTTTGGATTTAGCAGTTTTCCAATTTTTAAGTTTCTTAATTTTTGATCTTTCGATTTTTTAGTTTTTTATTGCTTTAATTTTTCAAGTTCTTGATTTCCAATTTTGTAGTTTTTCCATTTTATTTATTCGAAAAGTTGAAAATCTGAAAATCGAAAAATTAAAAATTGAGAAACTAAAAATTCGGGAATAATTGAAAAATAGAAAAATTGAGAAAACCAAAAATTGCGAAATCAAAAAGTGGAAAATCGAAAAACCAAGAACTGAAGAAACGAGGAATGAATATACTGAAAAATTAAAAATCGAGAAACTTAAAGATCGAAAAAAAATCAATGAAAAACTTCTAAAACGTAGTAAATGAAAAATGGGAAAATTCTAAATCGTAAAATTGAAAAAGCAAAGAATTGCAGTTATCATTAGATATTTAAAATGCAAACTAGAAAAATAGCAAATCAAAAACTGAAGAAACGAAAACATGAAAAATTGAGAAACTGAAAAATTAAAAATTGAAAAATCGAATGATTGAAAAATCCAGAAACTGAAAATTTTCACATGAAAAAAGAAAAATTATAAAATCAGAACATTGAAAAACCCGAAAAACAAATTGAAATTGAAAAATAAAAAAAAAATATCGGAATATTGAAAAACCGAAAAATTATCAACATAAAGCAAACAAAAGACCGAAACAAAAAATCGCAAAACGAACATTTGAGCAAATGATAAATAGTCGAATAACTGAAAAAGTATTAAAATCCAATAATTGAAAAATGGAAAAAAGTTAGATAATTAAAAAATTATTATTATATATTCAATGTGAGAACTACAAAAATTGCAATTCAAAACCTGAAATAACGAAAAATAAATCGTGAAATTGAAAAATCTAAAAATTTCAAATCGAAAAATTGAAAAATTTCACATTGAAAAGTCGAAAAATTGGAAAAACGAAAAATTGAATACTCCTGAAGTTGCATATGGAAAAAATGCAAATCTAAAAATTGTAATATTCCAAAACTAGGAATTGCAAACTTAGAATTTGCAGAAATGCAAAACTGAAAAATCGAAAAACCGAAAAATTAAAAATAGAAAATTCGAGGAATTTTAAATCGGAAAATTGAAAAATCTAAAGATTGAAGAAACAAAAAAATGAGAAATTAAAAGATCACAAATGGAAAAATGAAAAAACTGAATAAATTGAATTTAACAAACAAAAAATTATAAAATCTTTACGTCGAAAAATGGAAGAATTGAAAAAACAAGGAAAATAAATAATCGAAATTAAAAATTGGAAACCCGGGGAAGCTCAAATGGAAAAATTGCAAAACCTAAAAATTGAAAAATTCAAAAGTTGAAAAATTCAGCAACTGAAATTTAAGAAACAAAATTAAGAATTGAAGAATTGAAAAATTATAGAGGTTATCAGAAAACAAAAATCGCAAATAATTTCTGTAATATATCAAGGAAGTTGGGCTACACTTCAAGGGCCAGGGCAACAACCTTTGATCAATTAACTGTTTGAAATTTGACACATTGTAGTTACAAATCAGCGCACGTTAAAAAACTAAGTATATCGGATTCAAATTTTTATATTAAAAAGTGCAGTTTTCACAACAAATTTGAACTAAAACACAATTAGATTGCTTTGAAATTTCTGACGAAAACAAACATTGCCACTTAGCTCTTAACCACAATTCCATATTAAATTCTTTACGTATTTAGACAGAGCGCAAAAATTCTGGCAGATACGATTTTCATCCAGGAATTCCTGCTTCCCTTATTTACTCATTCCGCTTTTTTCTTCCAGGAAACTGGTGGAACACCGAAAATTGTTTCTCGTCCATCGAAAACAACACTGTGATAAACTCAACACTACGTACTACATCTGTCGAGGAATACTTCGAGTAAGTGCCAATTAAAAAACCCCCAACGACCTAATTTCCCCATTCTTCTTCTAAAATGGCCAAAAAATACGCCTCAACTGCGCCCCAAATTATTCATAGCCCCTAATCCGCATAATACATCGTAAGCCTTCTCAAAGGCATCAGCTTACAAAATCCTCGCTGAGTGAGCAATTTAAAATTGAATTAATTTGTTTCAGGCGTCGAGTCCTCGGCATAACTACCGGAATCGAAGAAATTGGGGGGATGCAGTGGGGGCTGTTCGTGTGTCTGGTGTTCGGGTGGCTGATAATTTACATGATTATCCGGAAAGGGTTGCATCAAAGCGGAAAGGTAATCGGAAGAACGATAAATTAGGTAAATTCCGCGAAGCGGGAATCTTAGCGATTCATTTTTGGCACACTTGTTTGTTTTAATTCGTGTGGGAGTCCTTTAATGGAATTTGATTAGTGGTTTTAAATACGCTAGAAAATTTGGACAGAATGTTTGCACTAAGCAGTGAAAGGTGCAAATATTTATAAAGTAGAAAAATATACGGTGGAGATGCAGGAATTGTAAAATTAATTAGTTTGCATACTTTGTTATGTAACGGTACATTAGCACTTGCTCGTTTTTTGATTATCCAGTTTTTTCCGGTTCGGTTGGGGTCATTAAAGAATAATTACTCTCATCGTCGACAATCAAACGGTGGGCGTATCCTGTTAGCCTTTTACAGGAATTTATAAAGTGGTTGTAATTTCAAGACCAAAACTGAGCAACTAATCCCTCATTATTTGATTTCCGACCTTGAACTATAGCTGAAACTGTAAAAGTGTTTAAAACGACGAACTCATGCCACTCCATGAAAGTTGTTTCCGTTATCCCCTCCAGAAATTCGGTAACGTCATCACAAAAAATTATTAGGTCCGCATTTTCCACTTGCTCTGTTCCACCTAAACCCCTACCCTAGTAACCCTCTCCGCGCCTTCCCTTGAGCTTGCCATTGACAGAGTTCATTATCATACGGCAGGATCGAAGGATCGTTCACCCAGATCCTTCCTTATTATCCACAGCTGGTCGATTTCGAGCATTATTTGATTATGCTGTTCCGTGTGTGACAAGAGGGATCAAGTTGTTACAAGAACCATTGTTCATGATAGTTGTCGCATGGATGGGTCCGTCAGGGGCCGTTGACGTCATTTCCTACTCCCCCAACTTAATTCCGCCTCCAAAATTTTCTTGCGTCATGTTTTAAAGCATGAAAAATTTCAGGTAATCTGGTTCACGGCCTTGTTTCCATACTTCGTGCTCTTGATTCTCATGGGCCGTGCCGTGACCCTTAATGGGGCTGCTGACGGGTTGCTGTATTTCATCACGCCGAGGTGGGAGGAGCTGTTAACCCCTGGACCATGGATGGACGGGGCCACGCAGATATTTTTTGCCTACAGTATAGGGTGCGGAGCTTTGCCGGCTTTGGGGTCGTTTAATAAATTCCACCACAATTGCTACAAGTAAGTGAACTATAAATATTGTTTTTTAATGAACTATTCACTGTTTCATTTCAGGGACTCTGTCATTACATGCGTCATCAACACCCTGACCTCCCTCTTAGCAGGAGTTGTAACCTTTTCGATCTTGGGATACTTAGCGGCGGAGCAGCACACCAGTGTTGCCGACGTCGTCAAAAAAGGGCCCGGTCTAGTCTTCCTGACGTATCCAGAAGTGGTCCTCAAGCTTCCGGGATCGGCTTTCTGGGCTTCCACTTTCTTCATCATGCTTGTGGTGAGAACTGATTTTTTCTGTTACCACAAACGTGACAGGACCACAGAGGCGCGTAGTAACTTCTCTTAACAGCAAGTTTACAGATTTTGGGAATCGATAGCGAGTTTTGTCTCGTGGAAGCCTTCATAACTGGACTTGTCGATAATTGGTCGGAAGAACTGAGACCTCATCGAGGAAAGTTTACTGTGGGTGTGTGCACGCTGATGTTTTTGTTAGGAATTCCGATGGTAACCAAGGTAAGGAATTTGCGATTTTATTTCTGTCTGTGTTTATTTTCTCTAGCCGTCATTTTTCTGCGCGTTTTCTATAATCGGACCAACGATTTTCAAGTAGGTTTGTTAAGAGTAGGTTTTAGAAATTGGTTTTATGGTTGACTGCGTTGGTATCACGTGATTTAGATTCAACGTCATGTGATCGTACGCACATAGTCTGAGTTTCGTTATTTATGGGTTTGTACGTCAAGTTAAGGTTAATGCAACTTTTTACGATTTTATTATCTTAGACAAGTAATTGAATTTTCATTTTACGTATTTTACTACGTATTCGCTAGCATTTTTAGTATTCAAATATTTGACGTAAATATAAGATCCAATTTACTGCTTTCTTAAAGATAAAGTAAAACGCTGAGTTTTACCTTAGACGTCTGGATTTTTGAGGAAAAATTAAAAACTGTATTTTACAATTTAACTTTGAAAACGTAAAACCGAATGCTCTGAAATCTTGTAAACGTTCTAAGGTTACAGGAAGCATGATAAGTGGTTCTTCAAAATCTATTCGCTATGGCCTCCCCAAAAAATGAGCATGCTCTTACATGTGTGATTTATGAATCCGTGTATAGTTTTTACCCTTGACATCCAGATTTTTGGGCAAAAATCAAAATTTTATAACAATATTTCACAATTTAACGTTGCTGTGAAGTCTTTCATATATTTTGAGGTTATTGGGTGCATGATAAATCCTTAATCAAAATTCGTCCGTCATCCTACAATAAAATATAAAACATGAATAAATGTTCTTCAAATTTATGAGTGTTTGTGGTTAATTAATTAATCAATCAATCTTCTCTTCTGCGTCGAGGAGACAAAAAATATCAGAATAAGGTTAAGGTATGAAAGTAAAACACTTAATCGTAAATTTTCTATTACCTCTGATAATTTTCAAGTTTACTCGATAAGACCAATTAAAAGTCGGAGATTCTATACAGCGTTTACCGAACATAAAAAGCGTCGTTTCTTATTTCATTAATTACAAAATTCTGGTTTTATTTTGGACTAAATTTTTATATAAATGGTTTTGTAATGCACATGTATGTTATTCCAGATTCTAAAACCCACCAACACCTCAATTTTTTCGAAAATACGACTTACTAACTATTTTTCGCGGACCCTTTGAAAATTGTTTAAAGAAAGACTTTTTTTGTAAAAGTTATTTTCGACTTAATTTCTGTGTTCTTTATATGTATTTGAAAAAATCTCATTTTCAAACCGAATTGTCTGAAAATCTTGATAACTTGTAGGCAACTTTTCAAAAATCTCAATAAACTTGTATGATTTCTTTGACCGTTCTTTGAGCTTTCGAAACTATATGTATTTCATTCCTTTTAAACCGCCGATGCTAGTAATCTGAATGGGCTAATAGTCGAATTTTTTCGGAGCATAAACATAAACAATCAAAGTTAAGCATGTACTAAAAAATTGAGAATATCTACATTTTTCCCCTAAGTTGTCTGGTTTAAATATAGTCGCAAAATCCCATTTTATAATATGTATATATTTTAAAACGGTATTTGTCGACAACACTTTAAGGGTGGAAAAATTTCAGTGAGAATATAATTCATGGATCACATGTCCCCATTTCTTCCAATAGAATTTGTCCATGCCCTTAGTTACATGTCTATCACAGCGATAATAATTTTATTGCCTTATTGTGGTCTGTTGCTACCTAAATTTAAAAACTGTCAAATTTGACAAATTTTAGAATTTCATAAATTTTTTTGTCTATTATGGCTTGCCAACGTTGGGGGCAAGCTCAAAACGACGAAATTAATTCTATGATCAAAAAATATGTTCATTTATTATATTCTCATGTTGAATATAACTCGTGATATGATTAATAATCGAAGATATGGCTCGTGAAACCAAAGCAGCACATTCAACTCGTGTTTCGCACTCGTTGAATCTGCAGCTCGGTTTCACTCGAAATATTATCGATAATAATCATATCACTTGTTATATTATAATTGAAAATAATCTTTGAAAAATTGTTTTAAGGTAAAATCTTCTCAAGGGCCCCAACTGACTTTTTTTGAGAAGGTGAAACCTTCTCCGAGGTCCCAACTATCTTTTTCTTTAAAGAAGGTGAAAACTTTTCGGCGGTCCCAGTGGTCTTTTTTTTTTAAAGATGGTGAAACCTTCTTGGGCCCCCCGAACAGTCCTTTCAAAGAATGTAAAACCTTCTCGAGTGCCCCAACCATGCCTTTTTTTAAGAAGGTAAAACCTTCTCGGGGCATCAACTTTTTATTTTTAAATGTGAAACCTTCTCAGGGAATCAACTTTTTTTTAAATGTGAAACCTTGTCGGAGGCATCACATTTCTTTGTCTTTTTTTCAAGAGGGTGAAACCTTCTCGGGGACCTAAGTGTATGCTTTAAAAATGTTAAACCTTCTCGTGGGTCTTAACCGTGTCTTTTTTTAAGAAGGTGAAACCTTCTCGAAGCATCAACTTTTTTTAAAATGTGAGACCTTGTCGGTGGTCCCAACTGTTTTTTTTTAAAGAAGGTGAAACCTTCTCGGAATCCCCAACTCTATACTTTCAAAAAGTAAAACCTTCTCGTGGGCCCCAACCGCTTCTTTTTTTAAGAAGCTGAAACCTTCTCGGGGCGTCAACTTTTTTTTAAAAATGTGAAACCTTCTCGGGGGCTCCAACTGTTTTTTTTAAGGAGGTGAAACCTTGTCGGGGGCGTCACCAACTGTCGCTTTTCAAAATGGTAAAACTTTCTCGGGGACCCCAACTGTCTTTATTAGAAATGTAAAACCTTCTCGTGGTCCCCAACCGTGCTTTTTTTAAGAAGATGAAACATTTCGAGGCATCGACTTTTTTTATGTAAAACCTTCTCGTGGGCCCCAACCCTGTATTTCTTTTAAGAAGGTAAAAACTTCTCATAGAATCAACTTTTTTTTTTAGTGTGAAACTTTGTCGGGGGCATCACCAACCGTCTTTTTTCAAGAAGGTGAAACTTTCTCGGAGACCCCAACTGTCTTTTTTACAAATGTAAAACTTTCTCGTGGTCCCCAACCGTGTTTTTTTTTTAAGAAGATGAAACATTTCGAGGCATCAACTTTTTTTTTAATGTAAAACCTTCTCGTGGGCCCCAATCGTGATTTTTTTTAATAAGATGAAACCTTCTCGGGGTATCAATTTCTTTTTAAGAATGTGAAACTTTCTCGGGGGTCCCAACTGTTTTTTTTTAAAGCAGGCGGGACCTTGTCGGGTGCAACACCAACTATCTGTTTTCAAGAACGTGGAACTTTCTGGGGAGACCCCAACTGTCTTTTTTAGAAATATAAAACCTTCTCGTGGTCCCCAACCGTCTTTTTTTTTAAGGAGATGAAACTTTTCGAGGCATCAACTTTTTTTTTAATGTAAAACCTTCTCGTGGGCCCCAACCGTGATTTTTTTTAATAAGGTGAAACCTTCTCGGGGGTCCCAAATGTTTTTTTAAAGGAGGTGAGATCTTGTCGAGTGCATCACCAACTTTCTGTTTTCAAGAATGTGAAACCTTCTCGGGGACCCCAACTGTATCCTTTAAAAATGTAAAACCTTCTCGTGGGCCCCCAATCCTGTATTTTTTTTAAGAAGGTAAAAACTTCTCATAGAATCAACTTTTTTTTAGTGTGAAACCTTGTCGGAGGCGTCACCAACCATCTTTTTTCAAGAAGGTGAAACTTTCTCGGGGACCCCAAGTGTCTTCTTTAAATATGTTAAACCTTCTCGTGGATCCCAACCGTATCTTTTTTTACAAAGGTAAAACTTTCTCAGGACAGCAACTTTTCTTAAGAAAGTGAAACCTTCTCACAACACAACATTTTATTTTTAAATGTGAAACCTTATCGGGACGTCAACTTTATTCTAAACATGTGAAACCTTGTCGGCGGCATCACCAACTGTCTTTTTACAAGAAGGGGAAACTTTGTCTAGGACCCCAATTGTCTTCTTCAAATATATAAAACCTTCTCGTAGGGTCCAACCGTCTTTTTTTAAGAAGGCAAAACCTTCTCGGGACACCAACTTTTTTTTTAAGAATGTGAAACCTTCTCGGGCCACAAACTTTTTTCAAGAACGTGAAACCTTCTCGGGGACCCTAAGTGTCTGCTTTAAAAATGTTAAACCTTCTCGTAGGTCCCAATCGTGTCTTTTTTTAAGAAAGTGAAACTTTCTCGAGACATCAACTGTTTTTTAAAAAATGTGAAACCTTCTCCGTGGTCCCAACTGATTTTTTTTTTTCAAGAAGGTGAAACCTCGGCAATCCCAAGTGTCTTCTTCAAAAATGTTAAACCTTCTCGTGGGTCCCAACTGCGTCTTTTTTTAAGAAGGTGGAACCTACTCGGAGTACCAACTTTTTATTTTTAAATGAAACCTTCTCAGGGAATCAACTTTTTTTTAAAAAATGTGTAACCTTGTCGGGGGCATCACCAATTGTCTTTTTTCAAGAATGTGAAACCTTCTCGGGGACCTCAAGTGTCTGCTTTAAAAATGTTAAACCTTCTCGTGGGTCCCAACCATATCTTTATTTAAAAAAGTGAAATCATCTCGGGACAGCAATTTTTTTTAAGAATGTGAAACCTTCTCGGGGGTCCCAACTGTTTTTTCTTAAAGGAGGTGAGACCTTGTCGGGTGCATCACCAACTATCTGTTTTCAAAAAGGTGAAACCTTCTCGGGGACCCCAACTGTCTCCTTTAAAAATGTAAATCGTGTCTTTTTTTTAAGAAGGTAAAACCTTCTCAGGGAATTAACTTTTTTTTTAATGTGAAACCTTGTCGGGGGCATCACCAACCGTCTTTTTTTAGAAGGTGAAACCTTCTCGGGACAGCAACTTTTTTTAAGAAAGTGAAACCTTCTCACAACACATCGTTTTATTTTTAAATGTGAAATCTTCTCGGGACGTCAACTTTATTTTAAACATGTGAAACCTTATCGGGGGCATAACCAACTGTCTTTTTACATGAAGGTGAAACCTTCTCTGGGACCCCAACTGTCTTCTTCAAATATATAAAACCTTCTCGTGGGCTCCAACCGTGTCTTTTTTAAGAAGGCGAAACCTTCTCGGGACACCAACTTTTTTTTTAAGAATGTGAAACCTTCTCGGGGCACAAACTTTTTTTAAGAATGTGAAGCCGTCTCAGGAGTCCCAACTGTTCTTTTTTTTCCTTTTCTCTTACACTGACTAGACTTTCTATAATGTTTTTAGTCCATAGAAGTTATCACAAAAGAGTAAAATTTCACAAAATCAAATTTTATAATTTTCAAAGAAGCAGGATTTGTTGGACTGTATTTCAAGGGCGAGGAAAGTTCTGTCGGAATAATTTTCGGTCAATTTTTTTTACTTACGTAAGTGCCACAAACATGTTTACTACACACAAATTTACATTTTATATGAGATATTATAGCAACTGTAATAAAATAAATATAGGGGCTATAAAAACAGTGTCCGTATAAAATAGTTTGATATTCGTGATTACATAAACAAAACGAATTTAGTTTCGTGACGCAGCTAATGTAATGTTTATTATTAATAAATACAGTTTGGAATCATGTTATATTAATTTTTTTTAATTTCTGTTTGTTTAAAGAGAAAACATTATAATATAACACACAAGTTACTAAAAACGCGGTTCAAAAAACTCATGCGTTAATTTTCCAGGGTGGCATGTACATATTCCAGCTCATGGACTATTACTCCGCGTCTGGAATGTCCCTCCTCTGGGTCTGCTTCTTCCAAACCGTCGCCCTCTCCTGGATTTTCGGCGTCGACAAAATCAGCGACTGCATCGAACAGATGATGGGAATGAGACCTAACAGATACTGGACCATCTGCTGGAAATACTGCGGTCCCTTGATCATGATCGTAAGAACTAAATCAATTACGAAATTCCCAATAAGCTCATATATCCCAATCCAGGCAATTTTCGTCAGCCACTGCGTCCAATACGTGAACCTCACTTACGGGTCCTATAAATATCCAGACTGGGCAGAAATTATTGGATTTGGTTTGAGCATATCTTCCATGATATGGGTGCCCCTGTACGCCTTTTATTTCGCCGTCTCCGGTCCCGGAACTTTCGTCGAAGTAAGTTCAAGGTTGCTCCAATATCCTGGTTATAATCTAGTTTTATAGAACCTGAAGGAAGGGTTTCGGCCTCACATCAAGATGAGAAAAATATCGATCTGCGACAAAAGGACGGGGCTGCCAATTACGGAAAGTAACGTCGGCTTGATTTCGCCCAGTCAGTCTTTCAATTAGAGAGAGAGTTGTATTTTTGTTGTGTGGTTTATGATATAAACGAGCAATTAAAAGGATAATATAATCCAGTTAAGGGACGCTTCGACCGTACTTAAAGTTAAATAAAATCCTGGAGTAAAGGTCAAGTTTATGTTCCTTTTTGTGGGCGAGGCGTTCCGTATTTTTAAAGCCGTATCATTTTGAGGAAAATTCTCAACGTTATCACGTATCAGTATTTTAATACCAAATTTAGTATTTTAACATTAACTTATATTTTAGTGTATTAAACAGGCACCTAAACGATGCTGAAATTTTTGAAATAAAATTTTACAAGTATTCATGGGAGTTTTACCCTTTCAGCTTTAATTACGTCCGCATTTCGGTTTTTTGTTGCTTCAGCATCCCATTAATTCCTCTGTATTATTAATTTAACTAGAAACAGGATGTTGAAGAATTAGCTTGTGAGCACATCTTCGTAAAACATCCAGTATTAATAACCCGTGGGAGTATCGATATTAAGCCAAAACGGACACAAAAATCCCAACGCGTTGAAAATTCCACCGATTTCAATTAAGATAACGCAAAAGAGACCCAAATAAACGCAAAACAGTCTAACACAAAATGCAAAATCATGTAAATCGAGCACTTCAACAGATAATCCCGACATCACGACATGCAACGTTTACATCGACCAATTTTCCTAATGAAGACGTTCAATCAAATCGAAAAAACTTAACCGAACACGGTTCTCCTAAAAAACTAAAAACCGCTTAATCGTTCATTTAGCGAACATACGTCATCCCTTTTTACCTACCCCAAATCAATACAAAGTCGCTACGTTTCTGGGAAAACATCCCGAGGAAAATTGCAGCTGATGGTGGGTTTTATTTTTTTATTACTCACTTTGCACCTGGTGGAATTGCTGTATCGAAATAAAAACATGGTCTTACTCTCGAAGAAAATCCTCTCGAGGCTGAGAAGAGCCGCCGAAATGCTACAATATGGTGGGGTAGTGAGGGCTGCGGTTTTCACAGTTAGGTACGACGCTTTAATAAATGATTTAATTTGCTATAGTGAGGGAAGAAGTGTTTTTGTTGCACACTCTGCGTGACCTGAACGTGGAGAGGTGGGATACTTGTGGAACGAAATGGGAAGAGAAAATCCAATAATTTTATACAGTAAATAAAAAATATCAAGGATCGGTGCGGTTATATTTTATCTAGCTATAAATATAAATAATGTTTCGGTGGGAGTAGAAAACGCGAAACCATAACGGGTTAATTTTTTGTATGAATATTTCTATAGTCTCGAGATGGTTATAAAGCTTTTGGGACTGAATTTTAACATCAGTTCAAATAGGCAGTTTTTGCTACGAAAGTTGCTCTGGAAATCATTTAAGTAAATACTATCCAACCCAACTTGTTTAAGATATTAAATCACTCAAGTCAGATTTCAAAAGTCTAATTCATTAAGGTTGTGCAAAAAGGATAAAAATATGTTCGAAGTTTGTCAACAAGATTCGCCCTAACAAGATGAGCATTTAGTAATGAAGTTATTAAAGAAATTTCTCCGTTTCATTCGTAAATTCCAGTGAAATCAGCTTCATTATGATTAAAATTTAAATATTCTGTAATTGCTGTAGCGTCACCAAAAATGAGTGCTCAGGAAATTCGAACTTTTATTAGATAAGCAAAATCTTGTAATAATAATAAGTAACTTTAATAGGATCGTTTAAATTTGAATAAGTTAGTGCGTTAGTGGTCTCGGGCACCAGTTTTTTTTTTTAAGTTTTTTCAACTTCGGTGGTGTTTTTGTAATATTCGAAGAGTATTCGAACAGATGAAAACGGTTTAGTTATAAGATTCTGATCTTGAAAAAATTGGTCGAAAGTTATTTCGACGGAACTTTCTTGGTCTATGAAGTACACTCGTGGCACCCGAGAAGGTTTCACATTTTTAAAAAAGATAGTTGAAGCCCCCGAGAATGTTTCACATTCTTTAGAAAAACGACCCTCCAGGCTCCCGAGGTTTTATATTCTTAAAAAACAGTTGGGGCCTTCGAGACGGTTTCACCAAAAGATATTTCGGGTTCCTTGAGAAGCTTTAACCTTGTTTTAAAAATGGCAGTTAGAACACCCGAGAAGGTTTCACATCCTTAAAAAAGAACAAGTTGAGGCCCTCGACAAAGTTTCATATATTTAAAAAAAGACAGTTGGGACCCATGAGAAGCTTTCGCCTATGGCGGCACAATAACACGTTGGTAAGCGGAGAAAGATAAACTCCTCCATAGTCTAGTGGTAAGGGCACCCGCCCGGCAAGCGGCAGGCGTGTGGTTCGATTCTCACCGAAGCAGCAACATTTTTCTTCGCGTACCTACATACCTTTAAAAAAAAAGGTTTTCCCTTCTGGAAACAAAAATATAATTGGGGCCACAGAAGGTGTCACATTCTTAAAAAAAAATTCGAAAATTATTTCGATAGGAAATTTCTTCGCTCTTGAAGGGAAGTCCGACAAATTCTGCTTCTTTGAAATAAATTTGTATTTGGAATTTTCGTTTTACAATAACCTGTATAAAGTAGAAACTAGTGGTGTAATTAATACCCCACAGTCCGCACAAGTGTGGACAATATGAAATAATAATAATAATAAGATAATAATAATAGCCTTTGTTGCCCAACAGGTTGTTACCCTACTACAGGACAAAATCTAGATTAAATGAAATATATTTAAAGCACATAACCAACGGGAAAAAATGTAGATATTCTCACTTTCTCAGTACATGCTTAATTTCTACTGTGTATGTTTATGCTCCGAAAAAATTCCACTATTAGCACGTCCAGATTACAAGAATCAGCGTTTAAAAGTAAATTTGATTTTTGTCTCCTTATATCAGAAGAGAGGATGGATTAATTAACTAACCACACTGTATTGTTTTCTCAAAACACTCATAAATTTGACGAACTTTTTTTCGGCAAAACTGTAAGATGACTGACAAATTTTGATTAACGATTTAGCATGCATCTACGAGTAATAAAAACAATCTAAAAAACTTAATATATTCTACCAATTCCAGACACTTCATAACGCCAAAAATTACAAAAAAGTTAATATTTTTAAAAATTCTTGAGATTTCACATTCCAAAAACCTATTATATAATAGCGATTCCAAAAACTATGCATTTAAAAACAGTAAAATTCCTGAGATTTTAAACATTTCTAAAAAATCGTAAGATATACAGAACTTTCAAAAGTGTCAGCAATCTAGAAAATCCTGAAAAATCCAGAAGTTCCAAAAGTATCAAAATTTCAAATTGTTTTTTTAATAAAGGAAATTAGAAATCTGCAAAAGGGCCGTAACTAGTAAAACTTATAGATCTAAACTAGAAAATTCTAAAAAAAATATAGTTCCTACAAACTTCAGATACTTCATATTGCCAAAAATTACAAAAAGTTAATTATTTTAGAAATTCCAGAGACTTGAACAATTCCAAAATATGGAAAAATTACGAAGGTTTTAATAATTCGAAATTAATAACAAATTAAGAATTACAAAAATTTATTAAACGAAAATTTTAAAACAGCAAACTCCAAAGATAGTAAAAGTGCCTGAAATTTTGAAATTTTCAAAAAAAAACCGCAAAAACCTAAAAAATCTATTATCATTATTCATTAGAATTCCAAAAACCCATAAGTTCCAAAAGTGTCAAAATTTTAAACTGTTTTTTAATACAGGAAATTAGAAAACTCCAAAACGACCGTAAGTAGTAAAACACGTGTAGGTCTAAACTAGAAAATTCTAAAAAAAGATAAAGATTCTACAACTTCCAGATATTCTTCATAATGTCAAAAATTACAAAAAGTTAATAATTTTAGAAATTCCATAGACTTGAACAATTCCAAAATTTGCGAAAATTACGAAGGTTTTAATCATTCGAGATTAATAACAAATTGAAACTTGAAGAAATCTATTAAACGGAAATTTGAAAACTCCAGACTCCAAAAATTGTAGAAGCGCCTGAAATTTTGACGTTTTCTAAAAAAACTAAAAAATTCAAAACTTTCAAAAACGTCAAACAACTATTAGCTTGCAAATTCTAAAAACCCAGAAGTTCCCAAAGTGTCAGAATTTCAAAATTGTTTTTTTAATAAAGGAAATTAGAAAACTCCAAAAGGGTCGTAACTAGTAAAACACCTGTATATCTAAAGTAGAAAATTCTAAAAAAATTAAGATTCTACGAATTCCAGATACTTCATAATGGCAAAAATTACAAAAAGTTAATCATTTTAGAAGTTCCAGAGACTTGAACAATTCCAAAATATGCAAAAATTACAAAGGTTTTAATACTTCGAAATTATTAACAAATTAAAAATTACAAAAATTTATTAAACGAAAATTTGACAACAGCAAACTCCAAAAATAATAGAAATGCCTGAAATTTTAAAATTTTCTAAAAAAAAAACACAAAACTTTAAAAAATCTATCAGCATTAGAATTCCAAAAACCCATAAGTTCCAAGTGTCAAAATTTCAAATTGTTTTTTAATACAGGAAATTAGAAAATTCCAAAACGACCGTAAGTAGTAAAACACCTGTAAGTCTAAACTGAAAAATTCTAAAAAAAGATAAATGTTCCACAACTTCCAGATATTCTTCATAATGTCAAAAATTACAAAAAGTTAATAATTTTAGAAATTCCATAGACTTGAACAATTCTATAATTTACGAAAATTACGAAGGTTTTAATAATTCGAAATTCATAACAAATTGAAAATTGCAAAAATCTATTAAACGGAAATTTGAAAACTCCAGACTCCAAAAATAGTAGAAGCGCCTGAAATTTTGAAGTTTTCTAAAAAAACTAAAAAATTCAAAACTTTCAAAAACGTCAAACAACTATTAGCTTTCAAATTCTAAAAACCCAGAAGTTCCCAAAGTGTCAAAATTTCAAAAAAAATTTTTTAATAAAGGAAATTAGAAAACTCCAAAAGGGCCGTAACTAGGAAAACACCTGTATATCTAAACTAGAAAATTCTTAAAAAATAATGATTCTACGAATTCCAGATACTTCATAATGGCAAAAATTATAAAAAGTTAATCATTTTAGAAATTCCAGAGACTTGAACAATTCCAAAATTTACGAAAATTAAGAAGGTTTTAATACTTCGAAATTAATAACAAATTAAAAATTACAAACATTTATTAAACGAAAATTTCACAAGAGCAAACTCCAAAAACAGTAGAAGTGCCTGAAATTTTAAAATTAAAAAAAAAAGCAAAAACGTAAAAATCTATCAGCATTAGAAT